CATCAAACTCACACCCCCAACCAGCCAATCCTACTGGTCCTACATCAAACCCAACTTCCTCGCTAGCCAATCCGCCGGCGCAGCCAGCCTCTTCACAAGCCGCCTCCTGGGCAAATCCGAACTTTCCACTCTCCCCCAGCCGGATCTCATCCACTACCTACAGCAAATCTCCACCTCGCAATCCGGCTCCGGCTCCCTCCTCATCTTCGGCCTCCAGGGCGGCCGCGGCACCGCGAACGTGCCCGAACAGCGCCGCGGGAGCGTTCTTCCGTCATGGCGCAGCGCATACGCACACGTCATGGCATATGGCGGCTCTGTGAACGCAACAGGTGACCCTGCGACGTCGTTGGCTGAGGCGGCGGAGTGGTATGAGAGTGTGCTGGAGCCGGTGTGGAGGAATTGGGCGCCGAATATGGGGGCGTATATGAATGAGGGCAATCCGTTTAGTAGTACCTGGAAGAGGGACTTCTATGGAGATGGGTATGAGAGGTTGGTGGAGGTTAAGAGGAGGTTTGATCCGAAGGGGAGTCTTTGGGTGTACTCTGGAGTGGGGAGTGATGAGTGGGAGTTTGATTTAAGGAGTGGGTTGCTTTGTAGGGTGTAGATAGGTGCAGAAGGATTAGCTGGGGGATTTTGGGGGTGGAGTATAGTACTTAGGGGTTAGATTCTGTTCTTTGTGTTCATAGTATGTGTATGTATATAGTTCGATTAGCAGTATGCTACTATAGACATTTGATCTTTATTCGTCACAGTCTACTTATCTGAGAACATAACCTAGGTAAACGAGCATGCCATGCTAATGAAAATGTAGATATAATAAAAAGCAGTATATACATCTCATGCTATTATACAACAATATCTACACACATCCCAACCCACCACCTAATCCTCCTGCATCAACAACCGCTGCATCTCACCCCCATCCCGAACACTTAAATCAAAGCTCAACTCCCCAACCAAGCTTTTCACATTCCTATAACAAGAAATTCCATTAGCAAGCACGTCCACATCATATCAAGTATATATAAAGAAGAAAAGGGTGGGGAATCAACCACATACCTCAACAAATCATCCAACGAGCAACTAACCACAGACCTCAAAACCTCCAGACAAACAAACGCCGAGAACGCCGGATCCTCCACATGTCGAATACTCAACAACTCCTCATCAATGCGCTGCAGCTCCCTCGCAAGTGGGAATGTATCCCCGGTCTCGAGATACGGCGGTAACGGCTGAGAATTCTGCACCGAAGCGGACAAGTGGCACAGCAGGGAGGTGATTTTGTGCGATTTGAAGCCGCTGGATTGGAGGGCTATTGAGGCGAGGCGGGAGATCCATTTATTATTTTTACTATTGTTAGTGGAGTTGGTTGTGGTTGTGGTGGACAAAGCATCCATGTTCTGAGTGGTATGCGCCATCAACGCCATGCTGGTGAGCATGCGCTGGATCTGTGAGATGATTTCATCGTAAGTTGCACGGGGAAATTTCCCACCGATAGGTGGCTCGAAGGAACTGAAGTGGCTGTGCATGCGGAGGCTGTTGAGGAGGAGCATTTCTTCTTTGAAGACTTTGTGGCGGGTGCGTTGGAGAGTGGAGGATGCGGAGCGGATGTCACCGTCTTCGGTGGTGGTGTTGTTGCTTCCGAGTTCGCCGGTGAGCCAGAGCTCGATGGTCGTGTGCATGCAGCTGTAGAATTTGGCGAGGACGAAGAGCCCGCGTCCCAGGGTCTTGCGGAGGGTGGTTTTGGCGGTTATGGGGTAGGGAAAGATTACCCAGAAGAAGGAGATAGCGCAGCCGGCGGCGACGGCGGCGAGTTTGTATGGGCCGAAGAGGTAGATTGGGTAGTAGGGTTGGCCGTTGGAGGTGGCGACTTCGATGCCGAGTTTGCGGACCTGGTTGGGTTAGAGTGGTTTGTGTTGGAGGAGATTTGGGAGGGATTACTTGTAGCTCGTAGCCTACGATGACATTTAGGGTGACGATGGCGATCACGGAGGCTCCGAAATATTGTGGGACTTTCACGTAGAAGTAGTACTGTTGGATGGGTTAGTAGGTGGCTGGTATGTAGAGGATGCTGGCTTACCTCGAAGACGTTGGCGAGGTAGAGGAAGACTATGACACCTGGGGTCTTCTCATCCACAATATACCAGACAATCAAACTCAGGACTAATGAGACGGCTGTTGCGACGATGCGTGCAACGAAGCCGAACATTGTCTGTCCGCTGGTCGGGTTCATTCCGATCACAATGACAATCATGGCCCAGATGCATCTTTGGTGGATGAAGAAGTCCTGCGTTTTGCGCAGGTATGCAAGAATACCGACAGAAAATGCAGCGGCGGCAACGCGGAAACCAAAAATGCTTTGCTCTGAACTGATAATGTGCGATAAATAGCGAAGCGCCAGGCTGCCTTTCTCAAACCAGTTTGCCGGGGGCAGGTGCTCGGGATCTGGGAAGTTGTTCGCTTCGGTCTGGCCAAGGGCAGAAGCTGGATCGACATGAGATGATTGTCTCCTGTCCGAAGCAGACTTGGTGTCGTGGTCGGTATTAAGGGAGAGCCATTTACGGATGGTGTTGAGTCTGGGGAGAATCAGTCTGCTGCGCTTCATAGTGCCATCCTGAATTCGGTCATCTGCGAAACGGATCAAGTCCAGGGTCGCGGTCAGTAGATTGTCCTGCAGATGTCCCATGAAGAGAATGAGGAAGAACTCCTGCTTGACGTCAGGGTCAGTCGCAATGGCTGCCAGGTCCTCCTCGGAGGTGGCATCATCCGGCTTCTCTGAGACACTGAACGCCTCAAGAGATGCGAGATTTCTTGTAAGGTCCTTGCGGCGTGAGAAGTAGTTTCGCATTTCTTGTTCAAATCGCTGTGCGAATTGTGGCTCTAGTGGTGTGAGTAGTTCTCCGGTCCCTTCTTCATCTGCCTTTCCTGAGTATTGTTTCTCAATTTTCTTCCGCTTAGCAAGCCCAAGTGCCAGTAAAACATATTGTAATCCAACTGTCACCAATCTGGAAGAGTCCACGAGGCGGTCTTGAAGCGTTTGGGCTACCTTCTGCATCTCGGATTGTTTCACAGAATCTTCCTCGGCGTCGAGCGATCTCACACTGCTGTTGCGCGTTCCTTCGTTCCTGACAATCATGTCCAGAACCTCAGGTAGCATAGCCATTCCTGAAAGGGGCAGCAGAATACCCCGTAGCAGCCTTCCAATACTGCTCAGGTCGCCTGCCGATAGTTTGCCCCATGCAATTTCGTCTTTCGAATAGAGCAGGTCTGACTGTAGCTTCCCGTGTAACCCGTTCAATTTGGTGATTGATGCTGTCAAGCGCTTCTGCTTTGCTTCCAAATCCGAACTGGGACTGCTTTGCATGTCTCGCATACTTCGTGCCGTGCGTGTCCTCTTCAGAAGCCCTTGGCTTCCGGTCCATACCTCCGACGTCCCCTTAACAAAGTCGATTTGAGCCTGGAGTACGTTATCGATCTGCGCGACGTAACCCCTGATATCGTCGAAGACATGTCCGCGGCTAGTGATTGGTAGAATAAGGAGAGAGACCCCAGTGGCAATGGCAAACCCCAGCATAAACCCCTTCAACAGTCTTGAAACGAATGAAAGACCCTCGGATAGTGTGGTGAACATGCCACCGCGAGTAATAGTAACCGAAGAAAAGATCGAGAAAGCTACCATAGGATCCTGCAGCTCCTGCGGGCGCCAAGCACGGATAGTATTTGCGGCCCTACATAGGTTTAGTGAAACTGAAAGCGCTATCGACTAGAACCTGGACATACCAAATCATGAATATTAACCATATAGCGGACACGGCACAGGCATCGCTACTGAAGCCATTCCGGACGGCCTCGCTAGCATCGGGAGGGGTGTTATGTTGTCTCGCTCGTACGGCGCAGAATATTGCTAAGCAGCAGAGAGAAGCTGATACACATGTTGACAAGAGATCATAAAACATGATCCGCATGAACTTGGCCCGCGGTGTCAGTGCTTGAGACAGGACCGAAATGAGAGCTGATAGGTACCCGATCGTGAGGGTGATGTCAGATATCGCACTACTTTGGTAACTGCTGGATATCAGCTACTCTGATTCGAGATACGATACGCAATGTGACCTACATCGCAATAACAATTGTCGGTGGCAAAGCACCCTTCAGCATAATAAGGAAGGACCGAGTGTCCAAGTCGAGCCGTCGTCTCCATGTCCAGGGATTTAATATACTATTGAAAACTTTAGTTCCATCCCAACTACACAGGTACTGCGACAGTGGCCTACCTCAGCAACCTGGCCATTCTACCCTCGCTAGCGCTCCTTGAGGGAGCCATTGTGCATTGACTGCTGTGTCGTACAGCTAAGGTTACGGGAAGCAGGATACTGCGTATGTTCGCATATGGGCCGATTAAACAAGAACCGTAGATTTAGATGAAGAAATTTCTCTCTTCTGATCCCCTTAGCACGCCGAAGATCATCGATCGAGCCGGGCTGAGTGACGGCCGCATCCGGGTCGGGTTGCCGTGCCTGGATCTCGTGACGCGTGCCGAGCCAAATGCCGATAGAAGAAGGTTTCTTCTGCACGGGGCGTCCGCAGCATTATCGGCTGGGTAATTCGGTCATCAGATAGCTGTTGATCGAGGTTTAGGGCTGACATAGTTAGGGGAATAGCAGGCTAGGCTTCTTTGTAGTGTTCTCTAGCTGGCCAGGTTGGCTGATTGACAGTATCAGATGATGCCAAAATACGTAGTTCAAATGTTGAGGATCTAGTCTTTTGGGCGAGCAGTAACCTTGCATATAAACAATATCATTTCCCATCTTATATGGATCTGAGTCCGAGTAGTAAGTTAAGATCTCTGACATATTCGATTGGTCTTAACCGTAACTCCCCGACGAGCCAGTATTTAGTAGAGGAAAGAAAAGGAGTCGGACGATAATGTGAGCGGATGAAACCTTAGCCGTCACATCCCTCTGCATTTGATCACGTGACCTATACACTGGCTGTCGCTACAGGTATTCGGGGAGGATAAATGATGCTTTTGCCATGGGATGACTCGTGTTCTACAATTTGAGCCAATTCGCAATGAATGGAACAGGTGCTCGAGTGGTTGGCTGACATTTCTCCAGCGCGACATGATGACGAGTGGACGGACACATCATGCCTGTAAAGGTACCAGCGTACGCTAGGACATCACCCCGCATATGTACTCTGGTCGTGGTTACTATTCTTCGTACTTCTACCCACTGGCCAAGACGCTCAGATGCACTAACATCCGGACATGCATCTTCCAAATCGGACGCTGTTGCGGGGTTACGAGGCGCGCTGGGCCGTCATGATCTCATCGTATCCGGAATATCCAGATATACTTTGTTGAGAAACAATGAAGAAAGCCAGAGTTGTCTGGTTCACATTCCATTTACAGATGCCAAGCCGGAAACGCAATAAGCGACAGTGATCTGAGATTATAATGATAGGATGGAATCTGTCCGAAGGCACCGTCAATATGAACTCAATCGTCGATGGCAGTTCCATCACAACGGTCCTCGGCACAGCCATAACTTCTCGCTCAGCCACACTGCTGCGGAGACGGTTGGGGATGACGAGTCCATGGTCTAGATCGTGAGTCAGCGGATTTTAAGGAACAGCGCTGAATGGCCAAGGTGGACGTATGAGAGAGATACTGAAAATACTTTGTACCTTGAATACGTATTGAGCGACGAGCAGACCTGTCAACATTCCGGAGAGATTCTGACGCTGACGAAAGCTCATTGAGCCTTTGCAGGAACAAGCTCATGTGACGCGTTACCCAAAGCTGCTGGCGCCCCTGTAAAGTACGGGTATGGGATACCGGAATCCGGAGAAATGCTACCGAAACGAGGCTGACTCCTGACGTAGTGCCGACCAATCAAGAACGAGCCACTAGTGGACCTCGGGGCAGGCGCAGAAAATCAGCAGGTCTGATTGGAGGGTCTCTCGGGGAGAAGATTTGGGGGAAGAGTTTTATTTGTTGAGAAAGACAGGTGGACTTGGCAAATCACTTCCAAGCCAGCCCGTTCTGGCCTCAATTCTCGGTCGGGGTTATGGAATTCACAACTTTCAGTCATCGTTCTGTGTGTCTGTGTTCTGTTCTATCCGTTGCGTAACAGGGCTTCTTCCCCCTTACCTCTGCAAGCCACGGCACCCGAAATAGAGCTACAAGATTCTATAATCCAGTCTTGTAAATCTCGTAATTAACTGCTGTTGACTCCTTTCAACCCTAGTTTCGCTGGCCCCACTGTTGATGTCGTAGGTGTGCATCTCATGGACGGATTCTGGAAAAGGTGAGATGGATGGAGATTTGCCCCTATGGATCCGCGGCCCAGGGGTGGAGACCTCCATCCCATCGGGCGGTCCAAAAATCATAGTAGCTATCTGATTCATCATTAGTAGTATTCAACTTTTGTGCTTCTTTGTCGACTGACAAACGGAGAAGTCCCGCCCGTGATCGCTGACATCTCCGAGTCCGAAATTGAAAAATAGCCGATGACACCATTGGAATTCAGTTTTCCGAGTTCTGATCGGAGATACCACAGGAGGAGATGACCTCAGCGGTACTTGGAGTAGTCCATGTAGGCATCTAGAAGTGATGTGATAGGATGTTAGAGCAACTGTTGGCTACGATTGATAAGGTGTGAGGTGGAGACAAGCTGCGTGTCGAGGCGACGGCAATTCACTGCGACTCAAGTGCTGCGAAACGGGGCGGACCATGGCTCCAGTTCGGAATAAGGTCAGGATCAGGATGATCATCCTGCTGTCTTGGCAAGCATCATTGGTCCTGCTTCCATGCCACAGGGCCCCCCCCCCCGTCCCAGAAAGGTTGACTTCTCCATTCCCTTATAATAGTCCGGTCGCGCAGGTTACTTCTAGGGACCCTCTCTTCCTATCTATATTCTCCTTCCTGAAGCTTGGCTTGCTTCTTCAGTTCCTGTGTTTGACACAGCTTCCTCTTACCACTTTATCACACACGTCTTATCGAGGGCCCCTCTTGCCTTCTCTATCTGATCCTTTCCGTTCCTGGCTCTGAAATACATGCGTGAGTGCCTCTCCCTATCTGCCTCCTATCGCCATCCCTTCCCTGGCCCACTAGAGGCCCTTAGCGATTTCTTTCGACACCTCATCGATGATTGTATCGATCTTGACCCCCCTGACTAACATCTTATCTCCTTGCTATGCAGACCGGATTCACTCGTGGGCGAAAGCTCACGCGTCTACCCCGAATAATTCCCAGGGTCAAAACCAGTCCAACACCCAGTCCTCTGAGGACGCTTCGGCTCAAGATGCTCAAGTGAAAGAAGGTATACGTGACCCGGCCAGCCCGGAGTCGGAAAAAGATGCCAATCAAACCACTGAGCGCCCACTGTTCGTCCGGTTGAAGGATGGAATTGTTCGCTTCACCGGACACACCAAACGCGCCCTGTGCCACAGCTGGGTCAATGTGCTGCTCGTCTTCGTCCCTGTCGGCATTGCGGTTCAGGCCGCTGGACTTAATCCAGGCCTGGTCTTTGCCATGAACGCGATAGCTATCATCCCCTTGGCCGGTTTGCTCAGCCATGCCACCGAGTGTGTCGCTAGTCGATTGGGTGACACTGTGGGTGCACTCATCAACGTCACCTTTGGAAATGCAGTAGAGTTGATCATCTTGTATGTTCCCGATTCCAGCCATTTACCCCTGACTGTTGCTAACGGTTCGGTAGCATGTAAGTTGTTGCTTATAAGAGCATGTGCACACACAGATACTAATCACAGCGGATTCGTTCAGTATTGCTCTAGTCAAGGTGAGTCAACTGGTTCTGCAACAGACTTGAGGGTCGCTCTAACTTGGTCCAGAATGAGATTCGGATCGTCCAAGCATCCCTGCTGGGATCCATCTTAGCAAACCTACTGCTGATCTTGGGTATGGCCTTTCTGTTGGGAGGCTTGCGCTTCCAGGAACAGGTAATTCTGCCAGTAACTGAGCTGTACGCGTTTGCCAAACTAACCTGTGCCAGATCTATAATAGCACTGTTACCCAAATGAGTGCATGTCTTCTCAGTTTGAGTGTCATGAGTTTGCTCTTGCCAGTATGTCTGCGCATCCCTTCATTTCACCCTATACATGCTGACGTTTCCAGACGGCGTTCCACGCTTCTTGGTCGGACGCCGGAGACGCAGATAAATACACGCTCAAAGTTAGCCGCGGAACAAGTGTTGTAAGTAGTATCAGCTGCCAATCATGTCATACCGTTCTAACTCTTCGATCAGGTCTTGCTCCTGGTGTACGTTTTGTACATCATATTCCAGCTCAAATCCCACGCCTATCTTTACGCCAGTATCCCACAACAGATCATTGATGAGGAATCTCACCCCGGTGTTCTGGCTGAATTCATGAACAGTTCGTCAGACTCCAGCAGTTCATCGGATGAGTCTGTGGATACGACAACCTCCTGGTCCACCGCCAAGCGTATAAAGAGGGCCATGAAACATAGGCGTCATCGCAAATCGAGCACCAGCTCGCATGGCACGGTCTCTCCACAGTCATTCCGTAAGAAGTCCTCGGCCGATATGCCTCCTGCAGCTGTTATAGACGAGCATGCTGGTTCTGCGGGTGACCTGAGTGTCACTCAAGCCGACGGTTCTGGCTCGTTTGTCATCGATTTTGGAGATGACAGCCGATACGATGCCGATCATGAACCTCAGACCCGAGACTTCGGACAACCACAGGACAAAGCCTCCAAGGAGGATCGAAAGGCTAAAAGGCGCGAGCGACGAAAGCAGCGTCGTGCCGAAAAGGATAATACCGCCGCATCTGTGAAGGGCACAACTGTGACCGGCCGCCCATCCATAAAAACATCTCAGACAGAACCCGCCTTCGATCATCCTCAGCCTACGTTAGAAGCTGGAGAAGCAACCGAACCTGCCAAAAGGCGATCACCCTTCCGTCCAACCATTCCATCTCTCTTAAGCAACACTGTTTTCTCGAGCAACTTGGCCGCTCCTAACTCGACGGTGCCCGCAAGTCCCTCGAATCCCTATGGCCTTCGACGAACGCATTCTCTACCGTCTTTCACCAACCGCCCTCCACCACCGGGAAATGCCGTTCAGTTTGCCCGGGGTGCTTCTCGCATGCCCACGGCCGTGGCCAACAACCCAACTGAAACGGTCCCCGAGCAGCCCGAACCCGAAATGTCTCGCACCGCAGCGGTGGTGATGCTTCTAGTGTCGACCGGTCTTGTCGCAGTATGTGCGGAGTTCCTTGTCGACGCTATCCCAACCATGATTGAGAGCTCGTCTGTCAGTGAAGCCTTTATCGGTCTAATCATCCTCCCTATTGTTGGCAACGCCGCCGAGCACGTGACCGCCGTCAGTGTGGCCACCAAGAACAAGATGGACCTGGCGATCGGTGTATCGGTAGGAAGTAGTATCCAAATCGGTATGTTCTAATTGTTTTATTTTTCTTGAGAGTAGGGGCTCATTTGTCACAGCTATCTTCGTCACGCCTTTGGTGGTCATCCTGGGTTGGTGTATGGACAAGGACATGTCCTTGTACTTCACGCTATTCGAGACCATCTGTCTGTTCGTCACGGCCTTTGTTGTCAACTTCCTAGTCTTGGATGGCCGAAGCAACTATTTGGAAGGGTCTTTGCTCATTGCAGCCTATGTTATTATAGGGTAAGTTGAATTCTCTCTAGGGTCGCGTTTTATCGGTGGCTAACGAGCTTCAAGTGTTGCTGCATTTTATTATCCTGGCAGTGGACAATCCAGCGATCTTGGCACTGCTGGAGGATAAGCGACAGGGGTTCATTAAGACCTATGTCATAGCACCGGGTATTTTAACACCCGACTGCACAGTGGTGGTAAAGTAGAGGGGTATATTGAGCTACGGAGGTGGGTTCGGAGATGTGGGAAGAAGACGGAGGGTTTATGTTAGATGGTGGGCGAGGAGGATGGTTACATTAAACGAGATTGCCAATAATGCTGCCTGGTTTAGTCTAGACAATTCAGAATGCAAACTACTACTTCTCGGAGATGATCTTTCTCATGGATTGCGGGATTTTCTGCGGCAATAGTAGGCCCATTTTGATACCCTCAAATCCCGCTCCGATGCAACAATATCTAATACATCGCCTGCCAAGCCAAGTAGACTTCCTGGCGCATAATCTAACTGTAGGCAACGAGGCACTGACTCTTTTCTTCTCATGTAATCCGTCAGTAAGTACGCTCTTGGCACAGTGTTGTCAGGACAGGTCCGACAGCGATGACTGCATCTGGAATGCACAGCGACAGATGTGGCTGAGCCTGTCATTATTACGGTCTACCACTAAGTCTAACAGTGGATGTACAGCCACTCGGTAAGACACACGTGGCTGCTTCGGTCAGGGGCTATCGGAGGGGCTAGTCTTGGCGTAATCAATGGACGTTCCAGATACAGCGGCTACTACGGCAATAGTTTGCTTTTGCGCCGTTGCTGCATTTCGCTTAGAGAGGTTCGCTTGGAGGCACTTTTCTCTTCTTTAGCATGATGCAATTATCCAATATGAAATCTCACTTCAAGGTGGCTATGCTCACCCGGTTGAACAACCCGGCTTCTGGAACCCTGCCCAACGGGGAAGACATAACCCGCTGCCAGGATGATGATCGATGATACGGGGATGATACGCAGTGGGGCTATAGCTGTGGCTTATGAAATAGTATGTATTCCGATTGGCTGGGAAGACCAGTTCCACAGTACCAGCCCTGTGTGGCGCCAAGCAACCGAAAAGGGGAGGGTCGGAGGAACAAGTCAGACGGAGAATTATTCTTAGCATTGATTCGATGTGGTCGGTTTCATTTCATGAGTGACTGACTGCATTGCATGGCTAAGAGCGAACTATTAGCTAAGTCTGCTAGGCATCAACGCCCCTCCATCTGACGCATCTTGCTGCCTCTCTGCAGCTGGTTACTTGCCATTGTACAATCATCATCAGCATGCCTTCACCAGGATAAACCCGTCCAGCCATTGTGTCCAGTCCATCCATTGATATTTGCGAATAGAAAATGCGTTTCAATCTAGACTCCGGTTGATCCCGGGATCCACCACCCTTCAGGGGCCATGATACCGTCCATTGTTTACGTCTCTGCCTAAACCCGTTCTGCATCTCCAGACTGCCAGATCTACAGCCTCCCAGTCACCACTCATCCACCCGACTATTGACGCTTCCCCATCCCAGCTAATAACCCAGTGGGGAACCCTTCTCCTTACTTTTAGCGCGTGTCTGGGTCCCGATGGGCTGAGTGCGAATCCCTGGGAGCCGTTAATCCCGGCCTAACTGTTACTTACGCGCCAGCGGCAGGGTGAAGTCGAAGAGGGGCCACCCCCAAATGATGCATCCGTGTCCAAAGTCCAAACTTCCCCCCTCCACCTGACAGGGTCTCCGGAGCCGCTTTGGATATTTAAGGGTCTTTCATCCTTCCCTTGTTCTTTTCTTCCCTTCCATCTTTCTTACTTTCCTCTCCTAACTTCCTAATCCTTCCATAACCACCATGTCTTACTACCCCCCACCACAAGAACCCTACTACGGCGGGCGCCCTCCATACGAGCGTCCGCCATACGACCGTCCTCCCTACGAGGGTGGTCCTCCCCCGGAGCGGCCCCCTTTTGACCGTCCGCGTTACGAGGGTTCTCCTTACGACCGCCCTTCCTATGAGCGCCCCCCTCCAGAGAGATACAACTCCGGTCCTCCCCCGCCGGAGCGTCCTCCCTACGACCGTCCCCCATACGGTGACCGGCCTCCCTACGAAGGCGGCGAGCGTGGCTACGACTCCCCTGCTCCTCGTCCTCCTTACGAAGGTGGCGAGCGCGGCTTCGACTCTCCTGCTCCTCGTCCACCCTACGCCAGCCCTCCTCCTTCCGCTCGCCCTCCTCCCGTCCCTCCCCCTCCTCTTCCCATGGACTGGGCCCAGGAGTGGGAGCCCAGCGTCCGCCGCGCCTACTACGTCCACATGCCTTCCGGCCGCACAGAATGGGAGCTTCCCGCTGACATGTCCCGCGACATGCCTCCCCCTGGTCCTCCCCCGGCCGGTGGTCCGGGCTACTACGGAAGCCCCCCTCCGCCGCAGGAGGGCGGGTACTACCCCGACCCCCAGGCCCAGCAGATCTCCGAAGAGGAGCAGAAGAAGAAGGACCGTAAGAACATGCTTATGGGTGGCGCAGCTGGTCTGGCTGTTGGTGCTCTCGGCGCTGCATTCATTTCCCACGAGATTCGTACGTCCCCTTTCCCTTCCCCCAAGACCACATCCATGGTCATGATAAAAATTTTTACTAACGAGAACAACAGATGAGCACGAGGAAGAAAAGGAAGAAGAGGAGCGTGAAGAACAGTCGTATGACTATGACCGGCCGCCTGTCGTCTACGAGCGCGAGACTACTATCATTGAGCGTGGAGAGGAGCCTGCATATGACTACGAGGAGGATGGATGGTAGATGCGGCATACCTGTTTCTGTTCGTTAATAAACAACTTCTATTCGCATAGCTTTCGGGATTGTTTAGCTGTCTCTATTATGCATTTAACTCAAACTACCTTCTACCAAACAATATATTTGATACTAAAGGTGCCCACAACATAAATCAGAGTGTCTCAATGTGTCGTCGGTCAACTTGTAGATACATTTTCATGTCTCCTTGGCGGTCATGTTCTCGCTCTACTGATAACTCACTACACTTTCTGTCGATATGATATATCTTAGTGTCTCTGGTATTTATGACACCACATCAATTATGAGGATACGCTCTGAGAAACAATACAATGAACTGTGTTGAGTGAATATATAAGTACTATAGTGATTACTGTTCGACATATCAACCCTTCAACTAGTCATCATCACATATATACACGGTACCTCACCCCTCACAGCAGGACAACAAATACCAGAAGTGCATATGAGCAGTACTACATACATACTATACAAACCTCCCTCCCCCTTAACACACCCAATAACTAGTAACCACCCCTACTTCCAACAAACAATCTCCCCATGCAACAACCCAAACCACGCCCTCTCACACTCCACAAACTCCTCCCACCCCCTCACAACCGCCTCCAACTGCTCTCTACTCGCAAACCCCCCCTCCAGCGCCTGCGTCGCAAACCCCGAATTCGCCGCCCTCCCCGCCATCGAACCCCCCCAATACCTCCGTTCCTCAGGACTACTAAAGCACCACGACCCCGCCGTCTTCTTAATGCTCTCCTGCACAAACCCCGCCTCTTCCGCCCACACATGAATCCTCGACCCGGGGTGCGGATTCCCACCCTTCTCCCGCGCCATCTTCGTCGTAATATCCAACCACAGCTCAATCCCCTTATTCTCAGGATACCACGTCATGGCGCTGGATTCGCGGGCCGCGATAATCCCCCCGTTGGGTTTAGCCACGCGGCGCATTTCGCGCAGCGCGAGCACGGGGTCCGCGATATGTTGGAGCACTTGGTGCACGTGCACTAGGTCGAAGGTGTTGTCGGGGAACGGGAGGGCGTGGACGTCAGCTACTTGGAAGGTGATGTTTGTGATGCCTTGCGAGGAGGCGAGCGTGCGTGCTTGCTCTAGTGGGTCGGAGACGTATTCGACGCCGGTTACGTGGCCTGAGGGTACGTGTCGCGCGAAGTCGATCGTGATGCTCCCTGGGCCGCAGCCGATGTCGAGGATGGTCATGTTGGGTTTGAGGTAGGGGAGGATGTAGGGGACGGAGTTGCTGAGGGTGCGCCAGCCGTGGGTTTGGAGCACCGCGGGGGCGTGGTCGGTTGTGTAGGTTGTCATTGTTGGTTGGGTGTATGTATGTATGTATGTGGTATTGGTTTGAGGGTCAATCAAAGTGAAGTTGTTTCTTGTGTTATTTGTGAGGTAAAGTTGAATGGTAATTGCTGGTGCCCATGGGGAAATTTATATGGACGAGTCCCCACCTATGCTGTCATCCCCGCTCCCGTGGTCGGAGTTCCGAAGTTGAACTCCGGGGTGCTGTGTAGGCACATTGTTGGTGGGTGAGTTGGTTTGTTGAAGTCATAGCGGGATTTTGAGTTTGTGCACTTTTGATAGGTTATTTTCTTTTAGAAAGGCTGTTTTGCCCGTTTCGGTTGGGAGGATTGTATAGTTGGTGGGGAGTTGGGTGTTTGAGGAGTGACGGAGTTCCGAATGGTGGGGTGAACTTCAGATCCGAGGTGTATATTGAGGTACACCGCCTTCACACGTCATGCTTTGATTTGAGGCTAGGATGGGTACTTATCCTACGACTAAGATCTGCTGCACTTGATATGCTGCTCTTTCCAGTCCAGGAAAGAGTTATGTGGTCTACTCTAGGTGAGGCGTTGACCGGACTATTGGTATGTAGTTCGACTCACTCAAGCTACTATATATAGTAAGGAGAAAGATCTCGTTGATGACAATTCACTTCGTTTTATACTATTGTGCACATACTCAGTTAAGTTATTATTGAGTAGGAACTTGAGAGAAGAACAGAGTAAGTAGTATAGTGGTAGGGGATTTAGGTAGAGGGTGAGCTAGGCAGGCAAGTCCAGACCATGAAAGCTGGTATGCTAATAGTGATAAGGTTGACGCTAGTCTGGGTACAGAATGTTGGATAGGCTGATTGTTACTACGGGATTGCACCCCTGTCGGGATGAAGTGACTAGTACCAGATGTGTGAAAGCCTTACTGATGATACTATGTCACAGTAATCTTGCCACTGGCTTCGGTAGACTATGCAGTTGTCAGGAGCTGACACTTGCTTAATATATCTGATCCACATAGTCTTCTACTGGCCCCGACTGCTAATTTCGAAGCAATGAAGGCATCGCAGCTTCAATTGCACATGGGTCTAATACTTAGTAGTATTTATATACTATAACCACATTATAAGAAAACGCTTTCTCTGGTACTTTCATGTCAAGAAAAATAGGATTAATATAGAAAGGTAGAATCTCTCGTGGTGTATATCATGCCACATAATAATACATGATATATGAACAACATTGTCAAAATCCCGGTGGTATCATGTCGTAAACTCCGTATTCCATATATTATATTGTACTAGAACATGATCAGCATCAGCAATCTCATGACCGTTGCAGCATACATACCAAGCGTCTGCTTCCAAAAACAGATACTAACGATCATGTGACGACGGCTTCTGAAGACGAGGATAGTAGAACAGGAAGAATACCACGACAGCTAGCAAGACCACGAGCGTCGGAAGGAACATAAACAGAAAGAGGAATAGACTCAGGCCTAATGCGGCGCTATGTCCTGGGAAGAAACGACGAGCCATGAGATCAACAGTCGAAGCAAGCATCGATTCCATGGGATAAGAAAGGGTGATGTTCCACGCTAGTGGTCGAAGATCCGTCTAGTAAGGACTAGTGGACAAAGAAACAGGACGATCAGGGTCCTTTGATGTGATATTTATATCGTAGGTTTAATGAAGTGGCAGATGGAGGCTGGATCCTCGGCCGGAGCTCACGGAATGATGAGTGATGCTGCAGTGAAGCTGGCTGGTGTGGAGCGCGCTGCGCAGCGGGCAGGCCGTTATCTCTGACTTTAATATTGCGGGGACCTAGCTAGACCACGCGAGTCGATTTTGCGGCTGTAGTCCAGATGGGTTGACTCGTTACTGCCAGACAGAGACTAGGGGTCTGGGAAATTGACGGGGGAGATTCGAGCCATTTGAAGTTCTGCCAATAGCCTGGTGCCTGGTCCATGAGGTTGCTTTTGGCGTCTGGAAAAGGCAAATTTGAGGTACCAGCACGGTAAGTTACATGGTAAGCTGTTGGTTGGTAACCCGTTCATTACCAGCCAAAAATGGATGCCTGCAGGGATTTGCTTCATTATTGGGCGCAGTGGAGTTCCATCATTGGCTGATGTCTTAGCGCCCCGCCGAGAACCCACACCAACCATTCCGCTTTCAGCCGAGTCGCTGCTAAATTTGAACGGGCATTCGAAGACCAATCATTACCGGGTGACGCAAGAAGCAAGGATTGTCTGGGTCAGGCAGCAGTATTTCATGTACGGTGCACAGGTTGCTTGAGATGCTTACAACAGCATGCTTATGATCTTTGAAGGAGACTAGATTAAAACAAGTAAGTAATATGCGAGGGAATGATCGCGCCCATGACTGATTTTAAGTATTTCAATAAGCATCGCAGTTTAATTAAAGCCCCTCGTTCTTCCCCTATCTTGGACGCGGGGGCAGTTCGTCAGAATTCCAGCACCAAACCACGGATATAACTTCGGTAATACTGGTATCAATTGTTGAAGATTTCAAAGAGAGCAGACGGTGTAACAGCTGGATTGCTAATACGGCTAGAGCCACCGCAGCGAACCAATGGTCGTGTCGCCCTGTAGGGCTGAGGCGGACTTGGCACGGCCCTCGGGTAAATCAAAGGCAAGCTGGCCAGTCGAAGGGATGGAGCATCGTGAATTTCGTTGTATCATGAGTACGCTGAACAACTGATATCATCCCGCCTGGATGGACACATAACTAATTAATATTCATTAATAATCAGAATGCCGCTGTGGAAACTCACGCTACGCCGTAAAAGAAAATAGTTCTTCCCATCGCAATCAATCAGGCGAGCGTCATCCGTTCTATCCCTTGCAATCCTTCTCTTTTCCTTCCCTTTTTCCTCCCCTTTCTCTTCAGTTCCCCATCGGCTTTCCCCCTCCCTTCCCCATCCCACCGAGCTCGGATGCATCCGTGAGTCCCCGCGGAAATGAGGCCATCTCGTTCGTTATCAATCGCTCAAATCTGATCTGGTATTCTTTGCTTTTTCTTTTCCCCTTTCACCCCCTTCTGTGAATCTTCCTGTCCTTCCTTTCGTCAGTTGATCCAGGATGGGTCTCTTTGCTGGACACGGAGCCCTCGACCAGGCCGAACTGGATAATTTCGGCGTCGATTGGGTCATCCACTATTCGTTCGAGGATGTCGGTAAGCAATTATTCCTCCCAATTCCGTCCGGCTGACACCCGATCTCACACCGTCTTCTTCCCGTCCAGAGCTCTCCCAGGCGATCCAAGAGTTTCGAACTTTGATCCACGACCTTCAAGAAGCGCATCTCCAGGTACAAGTCCGTCATGGCTACGGTGCCTCCCTACTCGTCTGCATTCGGGTTCCGCCCGATCTGTTGGGCAACTTGGTACACAAATCTCGGTACAGATGATCGGTAACAACAAATGGCGCATGGTCGGGAAAGCTAACGACGTATAGTGTCAAGGACTGGCTTCATGGAATCATCCACGAATTTCCTGAGGGCGGAGACGAGGGCGAGACTGACGCCGACACTCCTGCAGAGGCCCTCAGATCTGTTTACCATGCGGTGACATGGCAGAAGCATCTTGGAGGTGCTGGAATTACCCCCAAGGTGGGCCAATGGAAGAATATCACGGCGGCTATCCCTCTGCATGACCGCTCCGCCAACGCGGAGCTCCTCCGAAAATGGAGTCGGACTATCTTCTTGACGGCTGAGGATCTTGACGCTATTCGCGCATTGTTTGGCGAGAAGGTAAGCGCATCAAAAACCTTCTTTTGGGATTCCCTGGCCCTGTAGGAATCTAACAGTTCCAGGTTGCCTTCTACTTTGCCTTTATCCACTGCTATTCCTGTTTCCTGATTTTCCCCGCTGTCTGGGGCGTCTTTTCTTGGTTTTACCTAGGCCCCTATTCGATTACGTGTGCGGTGGTGACCTGTATCTGGGGTATCGTGTTTGTCGAGTACTGGAAAACCCGCGAGCTCGACCTGAGCTTGCGCTGGAACGTCAAGGACGTAGGATTTCTCAAAGTGAACCGACCAGAATGGGTTTGGGACAAAGAATTTCAAAATCCGCACACCGGCGAGACCATTCGCGTGTTTTCGGCTCATCGGCAGTTCGCTCGACAGCTCCTGATGATTCCATTTGCGACCGTTGCAAGCCTGGCATTGGGTAGCTTGATCATCCTATCATTTGCTCTGGAAATCCTGGTGTCAGAAGTGTACAATGGCCCAATGAAGGCATACTTGGAGTTTCTGCCGACCGTTCTGTTTTCGCTCTCCTTGCCCTCCATAACCAATATTTTGACGGATTTTGCGAAGCGTTTGACCGACTACGAGAACTACCGCACGCAGGATCAATACGACCTGGCACAGACAGCCAAGACATTTGTGATGCACTTTATTACGGCCTTTCTGCCCACGCTACTGACCGCATTTGTATACGTCCCGTTTGGAAGCAAGATAGTGCCCTATCTTGACACTCTTCGCTCTTACGGTCTCCTTTCCGCCAACCTTGCCCGTGAAATCCACATCGACACCTCCCGACTGCAACAGGAAGTGATCTATCTCTCTGCGACCGCTCAGATCCTCAACTTCGGCGAGGAAATTGTGCTTCCCTATGTCAAGCAAACCCTGATGCACAAGTGGCGTGACTGGCGCGAAGGTCGGGACTCTTCGCGTCCTCGGGGCTACTCTCAGAGGACCGATCAACTCCTAGTCGATGCTCCGGAAGAAGCTGGTTTCCTCTCGCGTGTCCGTGACGAAATCGACGCAGATGAGTACGATGTTCATGAAGATATTCTGGAGATGTGCGTGCAGTTTGGCTCTCTCGCTCTATTTGGAGTTGCATGGCCCTTGGTCTCCCTGGGTTTCCTCGCCAACAACTGGCTGGAGCTGCGAGGCGATTTCTTCAAATTGAGCTTGGAGTGTCAAAGACCTCCCCCCATCCGAGCTGACTCGATCGGACCATCACTCTTGGGTCTGGAAGTGCTCAGCTGGCTCGGTACCTTGTCCACCGCCGCCATCGTGTACCTTTACCGCGCTGGACTCCAGGAGGTCAACATGTCGTCCCTCCTTCTCACTCTTCTCCTTGCCGAATGGGCCTACGTTGGTGTTCGCTTCATCGTGCGAAGCGGACTCGAGAGAATTAGCTTCATCTCCCTCCGTCGCGAGGAATCGAAGCGCTACGCTATGCGCAAACGCTTCTTGGAAGCCACGTCGGGCCGGGTATCCCCTCGGGCTAAACCGCGAGTCCGGTTCCAGGACCGGGTCAGCGTTTTCTCCTCGTCCACTGATGTCCCTGGTACTAAGGAAGACTTCCTACACCCCGGACATCACCATGAAATGGGCCGCGGTGGACGCTTCTGGTCGTGGGCCCCCAATGAGACAGCGGACGCAGGCGTTCGGCTGATCAAGGCCCTGAACACTAACATGGACGGTTCGAAGACCGGGCCTGTTAAGGGCGCCAAGGGCGCTTGATAGACTCGATACTCCAGTCACTCATTATTATAGATTTGTCACTCATTAATTTGATTTCTGATTCAGGAACCGTCGCAGGTAGATGGTTAGAATGAGCCTGCGGGACGGAAGAATGTGGTCTGTACGTGATGGATCACTAGCTGTCTTAGAACATTATTTCCTTTTTCTTTATTATTTTTATGTGGTTTTTGCTCTGAATCTTTACTTTTCATTCTGCATGTATACATTAGGCTAGTAATAATTGATGATGATTTGAAACCCCCATAAACTTATATTGAAGTATGCACATACAGGTTTCTACCTGTAGGCACCCAGTGATGCAACGAGGTCTAGGAAACTATAATCTCTTGAGAGTCTATCTAGTAATGAATCAAAGTAAGGTCTATCTATGGCCGTCAAGAAAGGGGAATAATATATCTTCAAAGACTATATCCTGAATGAATCCTAGTAGCTGAGAGTCAGGCATTTAAGCGGCTGCATTGGGTCAAGTATATACTCTCAACGTCAGAGCTGAATACATTCGGTTTTCACGAACAAAATATCTTTCACAAATTATTCTACATGAACGCATACTTGATAAGTCATTTCGCAGCATTATGCAACTCCGTGGCAATCCCATCAACAAAACCCTCAAACATCTCTGACTCTGCAAGGCCTTTCTGCCATATAATCCCTAGGACCAAACAGCCATCTCCCTCAGTGATAGAAGACACGGCCAAAGGTGCAGCCGGCCTATCAAATTGCAAGGTGAACATCATCCGTCTGATCTGCGGCCACGACTCTCCTTCCTGGACTGATTTCACAACCCCCAGATTCGATGTCTTGAAGCTTACATCTCGGTCCTTGCCCATCTCACTCTGTATATAGCTCCACATATCCACATATTTGAGCAAGCCCACACTAGTGTCTTTTCCTTCGCGACTGAGCACCTGTTTTATCGTTGCGCAGGATGTCCTCGTGACCTCCCATGGAAAGCTGTCAGAAGAATAATGATCCATCTGCATCAGGAAGGAATTTTCCCTGGAAATCCATGGCCCAGACACCCATGGACTGATCCGTGATCCCTTCTTCTTCCTTCAGCCATCGACGAGACGACATGGCGCTGATTGCTTCTAGTCTTGTGTACTCCTCTGGCAGATGCGCAAGGAGACTGCGTGCAACCGCCGTATGTATAGCCGAGGTTATAGTAGTCTGGTTCTGACGACATCGTTTCCTTAGCGCTGTAGATACTGTTTCGGAGATAACGATTTGGCGGATCTCAATGTCGAATGATTTGAATGACTTCGGACCTGTCCAAAGACCCGGATCGCGATAGGGACATATTTTGTGCTGGAAAAACTGCTTAAGGAAGAAAGTCCAGCTTATAGAGCACGGATGGACGGCTTCCAGGTTTGGCAGTAGAGGGAGATTAGGTGATGGGATCACCTGTCTTGTAGCCTCTCCCGAGGCCAGGGAAGTAGCAGCAGTTCACACAGTTCAGTGTCTGGCTTCTCTTCAGCAGGATAGTCGCGGGTACGCTTTTGGAAGGATATAGTCTGGCTGAGGTCGATTTCTGGGAGCCGGAAGAACCAGGTATCGTTGTCGACTTTGACCGGGATTGCCGATAGGGCAGCATTTTCGCTGATCAATGTTCCAAGTGCTTTATATACATATGCTTGGATGGGCAGGGTGAAGGCGTTTGGGAGGATATAGGTTGCCGATATTGCCACGTTGGCGTGCTCGGTCAGAGCACGTGCGACGAAGAATTCTTCTAGGGGCCCTGTTGGCTGTTCGTCAGATGATGTCCCTTAGTATGGCTTTTACTTTGTCTCACTGACCGGTTCGTCGTAGTCTCTCGAGCTTGTCCATATTTGGAAAGTTATAAGGATGTCGTACAACCACATTATACGCGCGATGAGAGTGGGAGGAGCATGATTTTTCTTTTTTGTTTTCTTCTTCGCGACTTATCATATAAAATACTAGTCAGGCTTTCGAGACAAAAACAAGCCTTCTTTCCATCGGAAGCTTGCTTATTGGGGACCTGTTTAGGGGGACTTCGAGGGTTCAATAAACCGCCACTTTTTGTTCTTCATTGACTATTTGCTGTATCAGATTACCTCAGTTGCGACCGTAAATCACCCAGACAAAATGGAACCGTCAAAGATACCTTGTAGGAAAAGAACAATTGGAAAGGAAATCAAGAATCAACAGAGACTGTACTCAGGCAACGGCTTACTTCAAGTCTGCTGCAGAGTACTATTTTCGTCATGCCCCGGACGCAAAATTGCCCAGTCCAATTGAAGGCTGCTGGTTCGCTTAGGACAAGGGTTGCCAATGACTTCAGGCTTTTGGATATCTGATTATTCCTGCTAGAACAGCATGAAGTATCACAACCGTGCTATAGTCTAGAGGTTGAATTATTTTGAGAGATTTACCAACATGTTAAGCTTCTATAGTCGTAGTCGTGGTGGACGGACAACACCCGAATACCAGGTAAAAAGCACTTCCACGATTAATATGATGTGGGTCCGACCATTGGATATGTCTGATATGTCTCCAGGATTGATACGGGACATGGTGACAGCGGATGCTATGGATTGTGACAGCTTACAGTAGGCGCCTTTTAGAGTTTATCGTGTAAATCATTGCTTTAGGTATTGCATTCATCCGGGTGATCATGCAGTTATGAGTGTAAGTACTTGATTATTACATTATCCACATCAAAGCTTCACCATACAGCTATGCAACCAGAAATAGAAACTAAAATTGATGTGGTGTTTCATCCACCCGGTAAACCAATTTCTGCCCTCGTACTTTGTTCTCGCGCAACATATCCAGTCCAGACAACACTCCCTTGAGCCCATATGGCTGCTTAGACACCGGATGGGTTTTGATTTTACCCTGGTCTAACAAGTCCTGAAACACTGACTGCCATACCAGGTGATGCTTCATATCAATTGGTTTGGCGGGCACCTTCTGGGTTCCCATCGTGTATGGCTCTCCCACGACGGTATACGCCATTGAGACCGTCGACCGGACATCTCGTCGAGGGCATCGTAGTTCCTGCAGTGTGTGATACCGGCCTCCAGCTTTACTGGTCAGAGCTTCTGCACAAAACTGAGCCGAGGTAGCCATTGCGACGGTGTCAAAGCACAGCTTCAAGTTATCCCTGGTATACCTCCGGATCTCGGCCGCCGCATTAGGCTTGCTATAGTCAAATACCGCATCCGCCCCGAGTTCCTTGACCATGTCAAAATTGCTAACCGAGCACGTCGTGATCACTTCCATTCCGGATAGCTTAGCACACTGAATAGCCAAGGTACCTGTCGCGGTAGATCCTCCATAAATCAAGACAGTCTTCGGTGTAGTAGCGCTCCGCGGCTTTCCAGGCATTGGAATTCCAAGATTCTGGTATAGACTTTGGCCAACGGTCGTGTATCCGACCCCAACCGTACAAGCGTCCTCCCAGCTCATCCATCCCGGAATCTTGAGCTGCCCATTTCCCTTGGCCATGACATATTGGCCAAACGCGCCATCTTCAGGCTCGACGGCGTTGCATCCGTGTGTGAGGCCCAGTATCCGATCTCCCTTCTGGAATCTCTCGGGCACTTTGGGACCGACCTCCTCGACGATGCCGGCAAAGTCACAGCCCACGGTACATCCATCACTAGGCACTAAGTCGATATGTTTCCAGTCTGTCGGGTTGAGAGCCACTGCATTATGATGTGAGAAGAAGAAGAAGCCGACAATGAGGGTCACTGAAGCAATGGAAAGTATAAGTGGATGATGTATTTACCTGTTACGGTTCTGACGAGCATGTAATCATCGCGCAGGCTGGGAATCGGTCGATCGGTCACCAATCTGGCCTGTTTCGGGCCTTGCGTTACCACTGCTAGGTGTGTGTTCAACTTTGCAACCATGATATATGTGGATGATAACGACGTTTTGCGCTAAATTTGTGGACTAAGAGATATTGGTCTTCGAGGATAGAATCGTTCCAAGCTTTAGGTAGAATGAACCTTTTCAACAACTATAACTTCGGAGTAGCGAGAAAAGAGTGAAATAATGCCGGCGATATAGATAAGCAACGTCAAAGGCCGGATTCAGCCCATATGACAGATTCCAATAGTTACCCCAGAGGGGATGGTGTTAGCTGCCGAAGCTGCGGTAGCAGCTGTTGTCGAATATTGCGGTGAGCTTCCTTAAACAGCTATCCACTGCATGGTAAATGTTGGTGTGGTTGCAGAAGATTTCCCGCCATCACCGTCTTGTACAGTTGGAGTTGTCACTATTGGAATACTCATCACTACTTACAAGTGATACACCAAGCGGACGAGTTGACATCTGTCTATCCAGGAAGTTGCGACCCATAAGGTGTTCAAGCCATTCATATGCAGTTAGCAACATCGGATGCAATAAAGTATTCTTATTGCAGAAACAATGCTGGCACATATGACAGGTAACTGAGGGATAGCATGCTGTTCTGGGACTTGACTGAACATCCCGCAGCCTAGTGCTAACACTCACTTTCGTCAATTCCCATAAGTATGCATACTTGGAAGAACATTAAAGAGAAAAGAAAGTGAAGATCGATTGTAGTGGGTTTGATTTGCCTAGTCAATGTAGCAGTAACGACAGTAGTAAGTGTGGATTTCTCTTCTCACAAGAGGAGTGACAGCCCATGTCATACCTGAAAGCTTGAGTAGTAATGGTGCCCCTGTAATGCAGAGCCTTCCACCTAACAGCTATTGAATGTTGGTTTTATCAGAGAATGATATGACAGATATCCATCGAACCTGTCACAGAGCCCGAGTAACTGAGTTCGGATAGCTTGCCCCAATCTGGAAGGTCAGTCTAACCCAGATTTGATGAAGGATCAAGGATCCACCCGCCCATGGTGAAGCATGTGACTGGGCGGTAAACATGCCACTGTTACTTACTCTTCTCTCTCCCTCTTTGTTTCTCTCTCATTCCAATTCCGACCATCTGATGAAATTGTATTCGCGCATTTCCTGCTTCCTGCTTCTTGATCAGTTATGTATGATTTACTCCGGTAGCTTTGAAATCCACCTTTCCTCAGTTTAATTCTACTCTAAATGAGCTGCGCCGGTCCGAAGCGGTATATAGAGTAGAGTCTTGTCGCCTGCATGCTGCATGGCGATGTGAGCCGACACCCCGGAAGGTCTGCGGGGGATCGAGCACGAACAAGCAATGTGCAGTCTCTAAGCTCCTAGTGTCAATAGCATTGAGATACTCCTGGGGTGCCCTTCTCGAGGCCTGGCCCCCTAAACCCCGTCGATGGGGTCTGACTGGTTCAGCCCATCCGCCTGCATGGACTATAAGGAAGTAGTAAGTACCCACAATGCAATGTCAAACTTTCCTAAACTAACCTAAGTATATGGCTAGAAGCCTCTCTACTTAGTGTCTGTTACATTCATTGCTTTTTAATTGGTAGTGAATGATTGTCCAAATGACCATACCAAGATCCACAACTCTATCGAACTCAGTACAGGCACGGCTTCCAGGCCGTGACAAGAATACCTCTCGACTAGATCCCCAAGTAGGATGCTTATGACATTGCAGACCGCAAACACCCAAGGCATGGCCGGGACCGGAATAGATAATCTCCTGCGCACATTCTGAAAGGTTTGTAAACAAGATCCACTGTCCTGATAGGTCCATAACTGTCGGGTGCTAGCGCGATACCTTGCAGGCACGGTAGATATCCACTCTTCCGCTCGACGTAACTTTCAGACATTTCCCCCGGTATTTCTTCCCGACCAAAGCTGTTCCCCGAGCTTTAGCGGAGGTACTGTTGATCTTCGTATAATATCACACATGTCATTGCTGAGACACCGCTCCCAATATACGGTGGGTGTGGCATTGACCTGATAGAGTGGCCGGCAGTTGAGATATCATGTAAGAACTTGCGTCGGGCTTCACTGAAGATCCCCCATTCGAGAAGGATTAGTAGTCAAAACAAATAGTACGTACGCGTGCATGAGGTTTAAGAAGGGTAAAACAAAGATTGAATGGCTTACAAAAAGTTGCTGCAGGGTGAGAGACGTCACGTTGACCAGCTGCGGGCATCACTAGCCCGGAATAGTTACGCTGCCCGGAGATCTGTGCATCGCCCAGAAATCGAACATGTCTGGGCTCTCCCCAGAAGCACGGTAGTTAAGAGTCCGAATTTATAACCACGAGTAGAGCTTCCGGTCTCCTCGAAATTGTCCGTACAATTTCCATCCTATCTTCCACTTGGACCCCGGGCAGCCACCAGCCCATTGAGCCAGAGCAGATTTTGCGAGTCATCATGGATACCTCCAAAGAGCCTATTGCCATTGTTGGTAGCGCCTGCCGGTTTCCCGGAGGCTGTGATACTCCCTCCAAGCTTTGGGAGATGTTGAAGCAACAGCGTGATGTCTTGCAGAAGATCCCCAAAGACCGCTTTAACACAGACCCGTTTTATCATCCTGAGCCAACGCACCATGGCACTAGCAATGCCCAGTTTTCATATCTACTAGAACAAGACATAGGCGAGTTCGATGCAAAATTTTTCAATATTCTCCCAAAAGAAGCCGAATGTATCGATCCGCAACAGAGACTTCTCATGGAGACCGTCTACGATGGCATAACCGCTGCTGGTCTACCTATGGAGAAGTTGCGCGGGTCGAACACGGCCGTATACGTGGGCCAGATGTGCGATGACTGGCCTGGCATGCTCCAGACCCAACTCGACGAGTCACCGCCCTACATGGCCACGGGTTCGTCGCGGAGTATCGTAGCAAACCGAGTCTCATACTTCTTCGACTGGCACGGTCCATGTATGAACATTGACACGGCATGCTCATCGAGTTTGGTGGCTATTCACGAGGCGGTTCAGACCTTGCGGAGTGGCCAATCTGGAATAGCCGTGGCAGCCGGGGTTAATATTCTGATCTCTCCAAGTATGTGGGCCACCAATACTGCACCCATCCCTTGTCCGGTCCAGACAGTTGCCTAACATCATTTCTAGTGTATTATATATCTGAGAGTAACCTCCGCATGCTATCCTCAGAAGGACGATGCCGGATGTGGGATGCTGCTGGGGATGGATATGGTCGTGGGGAGGGTATTGCATGTGTGGTGCTCAAGACGCTGAGTCAAGCCCAGCGAGACAATGACCATATTGAATGCATAATCCGGGAGACTGGCGTTAATCAGGATGGCCGGACCTCTGGAATCACTATGCCCAGCAACATTGCCCAGGCGCAGCTGATTCGCGATACCTACCGCCGAGCCGGGCTCGATGTGCACAACCCGCTAGACCAGCCGCAGTTTTTCCACGCCCATGGCACGGGAACCAAGGCGGGAGATCCGCAAGAGGCAACCGCTATCTACCATGCCTTCTTCACGAAGGAGACGGAGCCAGAGCAGAAGCTGTTGGTAGGCTCAATTAAGACACATATCGGTCATACAGAGGGCGCGGCGGGACTTGCCAGTGTCATCAGCACTTCGCTGGCCCTGCAGCATGGACAAGTACCTCCAAATATGCACTTTAATGAGCTCAATCCTGATATCCTTCCATTCTACGGCGCCTTCGAAGTCCCAACCTCCGTCAAGGAGTGGCCGGCGCTGAAGCCTGCCCAGGTGCGGAGAGCAAGTGTTAACAGTTTCGGTAAGCAATCGCCGTTTACTTATCAAAGACCACTACATGATGATGCAAGAAGGCTAAAGCGCACAAACAGGATTTGGTGGCACCAATGCCCATGCGATAATGGAATCTTACATGCCTCCTGGGACGATGATGTCCGCACCGTCTCAATCAACCACATTATACACGCCCTTGCTCTTTTCTGCCAACTCAGTCACCTCACTGCGGGAAATGATTTCCAAGCATCGCGACTATCTGGTAGATAGGCCCGAAACCAGCCTTCGTGATCTTGCATGGACGCTGCAACATCACCGCTCAACTTTGCCTTACAGGAAGGCCATCACTGGGCGGGATTATGAGAGCATTATCGCCCAAATGGATATTGTCCTGAATGCCGAGCCTGCGGACCTGAATATTCGGTTCATCCAATCTTCTGAGCCTCGCGTTCTGGCAGTATTCACTGGTCAAGGTGCCCAGTGGCCCAGGATGGGTGCCCGCTTGCTGGAGTCGTCGAGCTTTGTCCGCAACAAGATTGCTTTCTTAGATGAATGCCTCGCTACTCTCCCTGAAACTGACCGCCCGGATTGGACACTTAGTGATCAGATTCTGGCCACAGGGGAGTCCTCAAGAGTTTTGGAAGCGGCGATATCTCAGCCTCTGTGCACCGCTGTCCAAATCGTTCTGGTTGATCTCCTTCAAGCAGCAGGGATCAAACTTGAAGCAGTTGTCGGGCATTCTTCTGGTATGTTTGTAGTCTTCACCCAGTATAGTACGATGTATGCTAATTGGATTCAGGTGAAATCGGTGCGGCATATGCCGCTGGTCTCCTGTCAACCTGTGATGCTATCCGAGTGGCATATCTCCGTGGTGTTTATGCTAAGCTCGCAGCTTCTCCAAGTGGTGCAAAGGGTGGCATGGCCGCTATCGGTGTGTCAGCGGAAGATGTGCAAGAGGTTTTCGATCAAGAGGAAATTCGGGAGGAAATCAAGGGTAAAATATCCATTGCGGCGCTAAACTCGGGATCTAGCATTACCCTGTCCGGGGATGAGGACGTTGTTCAGACAGTGGTAGACGTCTGCACTACCCAAGGAAAATTCGCTCGTCGTCTACGGGTAGATACGGCTTATCATTCAGACCACATGCTGCCTTGCGCCAATCCATATCTCGAGGCTATGGAGCGCTGTGGTATTTCAGTCCAACAACCTTCGGACGACCGACCAACGTGGTTCTCCAGTGTTTACCGTGATACTATTATGGATGCCAACAATCTGACCCCCGAGTACTGGGTTCACAATATGGTACAGACTGTGCTTTTCTTACCGGCCATCACCAGAGCTGCCAAGGAGATCCAGACACTCGACATCGCAATTGAAGTGGGCCCTCACCCGGCACTCAAGGGTCCTGCGTTGGATTCGCTAGGGGAGGTGCAAACGCAGATTCCGTATACTGGACTTCTTGGCCGTGGAAATAATGACGTAGATGAGCTATCTGCCGCTGTGGGATATCTTTGGACCCAGCTTGGATCGGGTGTGGTTGACTTCGATGGGCTGGAGAGCGCTCTGGCCGGTGACAAGGAACCTAAGACTCTCCTTGTCGACCTCCCAAGCTACCCATTTGACCACCAAAATCGTTACTGGGTGGAATGTCGCACATGGAAGGCTAACAGATTGTCAGACGCATATCCAAATACATTGTTAGGTTCGTGTCTGACTACCACAAGAAGCCCCGGTAATGCACAATGGAAGAACATCTTGAAGCCAACAGAGATACCATGGCTACAGGGGCATCGACTGCAAAACCAGCTGATTTTACCTGCTACTGCATACATTGTCATGGCGCTGGAAGCAATTAAAGCGGTGGCTGGGGATGCTGCGATAGCACTATTCCGGTTGACTGATTTAGTGCTAAAACGCCCAATTGTATTCGACGATGACAGTTCCAGCATTGAATGTATCTCCAGTTTGCAAATCTTGTCCGTCAATGACTCGCATATCAAAGCTCAATTTACGGTTGAGTCAGCACCCCAAGGAGAATTGTCGTTGCGGGTTAATGTTGAAGGCTCCATAGAAGTCGAATTGGGCAGATCTAATCCCGAGAAACTGCCGCTACTCGAGCATGATGACTACTACAATATAAACGAGCAAACCCCCGGAAGGTTCTATTCGGAAATGAGAAACGTCGGCTATCAGTACTCTCCGCCTTTCCAAGGAATTACCAGCATCCAACGACGCCTAGACTTTGCTCGCGGTACACTGATCGACCAGTCGGACGACGCTTGGGATGACCAGCTCATCTTGCATCCGGGAATGCTAGACACAGCCATACAGACAATCATAGTGGCGTACTCGGCTCCCCAGGATGGGCGTCTCTGGTCCCTCCACGTGCCGACTCGGATCGCGTCGATGGAATTCAACCCCCATTTCATCTTCAAGCGAGCTTCGAAGCAAAAGATAATTCCGTGGGAAAGTCACGTGTGGATCAGGTATCTAACATAATTGAGGGGTCTTTCCATCTCCTTACCCAAGACCGTAAGCATAGCTTTCTCCAGGCAGAAGGCATCGTGCTAGCACCATTCAGTCCTGCCCAAGCTCAGGACGATAATCAGCTGCTGGGCCACATAAAGTGGCTACCGGCACTCCCCAATGGTGCGAATACGGGGGATGGCAAGGCCTCCGTATCTCTGAATCCAGCAGTGACAGGAGATGTGGAGCGAATCTCACTGTATTACCTGCGCAGATTGTGCGAGATGAGTACTCCGAAGCACCGAAGCAAGGCGCTGCCACACCATCAGCAGCTGCTCAAGTGGGCAGCATCTGTTATCGATCGGGTCTCGGTAGGCAAGCACCCCTTCATCGCCAAAGAATGGATCTCCGACTCAGAGCAGCTCATCGAGCAATTGAGCTGCCGGTGAGTACACCTCGGCGACGCAATCCCTAGGGACCGTTTGGACACTAATTCTGATAACAGTCATCCGGACTCAGTAGAAGCAAAATTGGTAGCGGAGATTGGCCCGAGTCTTCCCGACCTCGTTCATGAACAGGGCATTCTGGCGCACTATATCTCCATGAATGAGGAGGCCCCCACAATAAAGCGGGTCCATGAGCGTCTGGCCGGTTTGGTCAAGCAGATCAACCACCGTTACGCGCACATGCATATTCTCGAAATTGGTATATCTACTCTTCGGCTTGGAAGACGACGCTAATATTATACAGGATCCGGAAACGGGGCCATGACTGAAATGATCGTTTCCTCGCTGGGGACCTCCTTCTCCTCGTACACCTTTACCGATGTGTCCGATAACCTCTTCAGTGAGGCCGAGTTTCGCTTCTATCAGTACACAGATCGCATGATCTTCAAGACATTCGACATGTACCAGGATCCTACCGCTCAAGGCTTTACCGCCGGAAAATATGACCTCGTTCTGGTAGGTAATGGTCTCCAGACGGCCAGGAACCAGGAGCAGGTTTTATCCAATATCCGCCAACTGTTGAAGCCTGGTGGATATCTAATAAGCGCCAGTCCTCTTGCGGATGATTCATTGCGCCTCGGTCTTATCATGAGCGATTGCCCGGAATGGTGGAGCGGTGCTGATTCGGGGCGGCTAACATTAGACAGTTGGAACAACCTCCTGGGCCAATGCCAATTTTCTGGCATTGACACCTGCACCCCCGTGGAAGATGTTCTCCATGATATCCCGGTTTGGGCTGCGCAAGCGGAGGATGAACGTGTGCGGCTATTGCGGAATCCGTTGGGTGCATCAGTAGAGCTCCCAGAAGAGATGCCACCCTTAGTTATTATTGGTGGGAGGTCTTTGGCCACCGTGCAGCTAGTAGAGCAGACTGCTGCTCTGCTATCGACCAAATTTCCAGTCGTGACTCGTCTTCACTCCCTCGAGGCCCTGATTACTACGTCCATTCCATCCAAAGCTACCGTGCTTAGTCTCGCCGACCTAGATGGCCCAGTAATGAAGTTGTGGACTGCCAACAAGTTGGAGGCTTTGAAGTTACTTTGGAACCAGGCAGCAAGGGTATTATGGGTTACCAAGGGTGCTCGCTTTAGCGACCCATATTCTACTATGATTTCTGGCATCGTGCGAGTGGTCCGAATGGAAAAGATAGACCTAAACGTGCAGTCGCTGGATGTGGATTCTATCAATCCGGGCACTGCATGTCTGGTGTGTGAGACGTTGTTGAAACACCAACTACTTCTTACTTGGTCGCCGGACAACTCCACTGAGAAGCTGCTATGGAGTTATGAGAACGAAGTGGCAGTAGAAGGCCAGCAGACTCTTATCCCGCGCCTGTATTCGAATGAGATGGAGAATATGCGGTTCAACTCTGTCCGTCGGCCCATTATGCACGAGGTCAACCCATTCGTGTCGACTCTACGATTGGCCAGCACAGGTGAATCTTACCAGTTGGAGGAGGTTTCGTCCTTGCGGGTTGCCGCGGCACTGCCAACAATCCGTGTGTGCCAATCTATACTGCAGTTCCTCAAGCTTGGATCAAATGGCTCTTTCATGCTCTGCATTGGCACAAGACAGGATGATTCCCAAGCTATGGTTTTGGCTTTGACTCAGTCTTCTGAGTCTCCGGCACCCGTAGAGCCTGGTTGGGAGATCGAGTTGCCATTTTCCCCTGAGGTTGGACGGTTGGCTCTGATGACCTTGGCCACCCACATTGTCACCCAGCAGATGCTGGCTATGGTACCCAAGAATGGTACCCTAGTGGTTCACGAACCAGACAATTTGCTCCATGCCGCTCTTTTGGATGCCGCGGAGAAAGACCGGCTTGATGTGTGGTTCACCACTTGCCAGCCTGGCCGTAACTCCAACTGGACGTACTTGCACCCTGCCCTTCCCGCTCGCCTAGTGAAAGAAAAGATGCCTAGCGAGGTCTCTGCTTTTGTCAACCTCGAGGCCCCTAATGGCTTGGGTGCCCGCGTGGCAGATGCCATTGCAGATTGTGTCCCCCCGCATGGCGTGCATGCCTCGGCGACTACGTTTTTCGCTAACCAGCTATACACCCGCTCGGGGGTTCAGCCGGCTGTCCTCAGTGAAGTTCTCCAAAATGCGTGGCAGTCAGCCTCCACGTCTAGCTTGGCCTTGGAGTTGATCGATTCTATTCCGCTGGGTGAGGTCTCGTTCCACAATCCGGTGAGAGAAGCCATCCAGCTGGTTGACTGGAACGTTCCCGCGGTGCCTGTTCATCTAAGACAAATTGACGCTGACCCAATTTTCCGCCGCGATCGAACCTATCTCATGATTGGTCTCACTGGAGAAGTTGGTCAGTCTCTTTGCCACTGGATGGCTCGTAAGGGGGCTGGTTGCGTTGTCCTGGCAAGCCGTAACCCCAAGATTACTCCTGCGTTCCTTCGCAAAGCTGAAGATCTAGGCGCAACTGTTCGGCCGCTCTCACTGTAACATTCCCTATCTTCTATGGCTATGAATTATACTGATCCAGATTTTACGTTAGGGACATCACCTGTCGCGACTCTCTTCAACGCTGTCTCCGAGAGATCAGGCGCAGCATGCCCCCAATCGCCGGTGTGGCTAATGGTGCCATGATCATGGAGGACGTGCAGTTCGACCACATAGAATTTGAGAGCATGGAACGGTCGATGAAACCAAAAGTCCTCGGGAGCAAATTACTGGATGAAGCTTTCTATGATACTGCTCTGGACTTCTTCATCATGTTTTCCTCCATTGCGGGCGTCGTCGGTAACACAGGGCAAAGCACCTATGCGGCAGCCAACATGTACATGGCTGGTCTAGCGCTTAATAGGCGTAAGCGTGGAGTTGTTGGCTCGGTCATTGCCTACAGTCCCCTCATGGGCTTGGGTTACATTGATCGCACCGACGAAACCATGGGTGATAAGTTCCTTTCCATGGGTGTCTCCCTCATGTCTGAGACGGATTTCCGCTATGCCTTCGCTGAGGCCATCAAGGAGGGTCAAGCGAGTTGTCACGATCGTGCAGAATTGATTACTGGTTGCGCGCCAAAGGTTCTGAGTGATATTACTCGTAACCGTTACAGGAGTGATATTCGTTTTAGCCACATAAACCTCGAGCGAATCAACGGCCAAGCGGGTGCTGGCGCAGGGGATTCCTCCATCAGAGGCCTGTTGAAGCAGGCCGGTTCTATGGAGGAGGTCGAAGGGGTCGTGCTCGGTAAGATTACTGCTAGTTTCTTTTACTGGACAATGAAGACCCAACTAACATTACGTTTATCTAGATGCCTTTACTGCAAGACTTAAAACCCTTCTTCGAATGTCTACAGAGCAGCCCCTCGATGCCAACAGCAGTCTGGTTGGACAAGGCATCGATTCTTTAGTTGCCATTGACATCCGCGAATGGTTTGACCGCGAATTGGAGATTGATATGCCGGTTATCAAGATATTGGGTGGCTCTTCCATTGTCGCTTTGGTGAAGGGTTGTCTCCAAGACATCCCAGAGACTGTAGTCGACATCAGAAACCTTTCCAACGAAGATCAGTCAGCAGGCGGGAAGCCAGCAGCACCAGCGGCTGCAACGTCTGGGGTCGAGTCAGCCATCCCTCTGTCAGACAGCAAGGACTCAATCTCGTCCAGCTCAGACAGTGAAAGCGTGGACACATCATCCCACTATGGAACCAGTGACACTGAGCCCGAAGAGGAGAACACCTGCGAACCTTCGATTGACTTGGATCTGCGCCAGTCCATCATCCAGTCGGCCACCGAGAAAGTTGTTCCTATGTCCTTCAGCCAAGCCCGTTTCTGGTTCATGCAGCATGCCTTACAAGATCCTTCAGCCCTTAACATGGGCCGTTGCTGGCACATTGAAGGTGCCTTGGATCTGCCCAGACTGAGAAAGGCGGTCATCACGGTTGCGGACCGACATGAAGCAATGCGCACCCGATTCTTCTGGGGAGGACAGGACCATGACGTTCCTATGCAGGGAATCCTATCGCGGTCTATTGTTCAGCTTGAGACTAAGCGAATCACCAACAAGGAGGAGGTAAACCGGGAGTTGGATGCTATGCGATACCATGCCTATGACCTCGGTGATTGGCAGCTTGTGAGAACCCGTCTTCTTACATTGTCTAACAGAGAACACTATATGATTATTGGCAACCATCCAATCACCTTTGATGATAGCAGTGCCTCGCTTTTGCTCGACGAGATGAATCAAGCCTATATGGGACAAAGTCTACCTAGCCTTCCCCAAGAGGCCCAGTACTCTTTCTTTGCGGAAGCGCAATTCCGGGACTACAAAGAAGGGCGTTTCCAGAAACATATTGACTATTTCAAAGCCTTGATCAAAGAAGAGAACCACCCACTGGAACTATTTGCCTTTTCCAAGGCCCCAGTCAGACCAGTTCAAACTCAATACCGGTAAGTATCGTCTGTGCGACAAAGGAGTAGTCATTGACCGTAGCTTCTAGCACCCATCGATCGGATGTGCGTCTCTCGTCGAAGCAGGCTTCTCTGCTCAAGCAAATCTCACAGGATAGGCATTCGGCCACCTCCGACCTTTATACTGCCGTTTTGAGTGTGCTTCTGTTTCGTCTATTGCCCAACACCAACCAGGTATTGCTTGGCATCAATGCCGACCGTAACGACCTGGCTCTGGGAAGATCCATGGGGTGCGCGCATAACGCGTTGCCAGTCCGGCTGGAGAGGCCAGGCATCAACACAAAGCTTGGGCCTTATCTTGATACAGTACGAAATTCAATTGAGGGCGTTCTAGAGCATTCGGCGGTGCCCTTTGATGTCCTCGTCAATGAACTCAAGTTGGACCGCTCAGCAAATGTTCCACCCTTGTTCCAGGCAATGATACAGCATCGCGTTGAAAGGCAAGATCAGGTTACATGGTGCAATGCTACCTGTAATCCAGATAAGTCCCTTAACTCTTGTACCGGACTTGACCTCTACTTGGACATTACCGAAAACTGTGCGGGCGAGACTGCCGTCGGCTTGGAGGTGCAGCAAGGACTATACAGCCAGGAGCACGCAGATCTTCTTGTCAAATCCTTTGTCTATCTTTTAGAGCAGCTCACTACGAACCCCGATGTACCTCTAGCAACTTCTGAGTTGTGGCCACCCGAAGATATTTCGCGGGCGCTGGAACTTGGTACAGGTATGTCATCCTTCCTTTCCTCTAGCCTTCTGAATACTAACTGACATCTCTCCATAGGTCCTGTAGCGCCTATGCAATGGCCACGGACTGTTGTTCATAGGATTGACCAGATGATCCAGCAAAATGGAAGCAACCTTGCCCTCAAGGATGGCAGAGGCAAGAGCTTGACCTACAACGATATGGGCCGCCGCATTGACTCGATTATCGCGGCTTTGCGCCAGGCAGGGACCCCGAAGGGCTCTGTTATTGGTGTGATGCAGGAGCCTAGTGTTGATTCGATTTGCTCAATGTTGGCGGTCTTCCGTGCTGGTGCAGTCTATATGCCGTTTGATCATCGTATCTCCATCGATCGGGCACAGGGTGCAATCCATAAGGCTAAACCGTTGTTGCTACTTGTTGATCAATCTACGGTCGATAAGGCCAAATTCCTTCAGGCTCCCATGCCAAGGGTGTTGGATATCTCCTCAGTGGCTACACGCCAGCACATTCCGCGCACACCAAACTTAGCAGATGGTAGCTCGCCTGCTATTATCCTGTTGACCGGTGGCTCTACCTTTGAGCCTAGCTTAGTCAAGCATGCAAGCATCATCCCCCAGCTTGAGGCCTCTTCAATGCAGTACAACTTCTCGAATGAGAGACCACTAGTCGCGCTTCAGCACTCGGCCAATTCCACCGATTCGTCGCTTACTCAAACCCTCGATGTATTGTGCAACGGAGGAAGCTTGATCATCCTGCCCGCCAACAGACAGGGAGACCCCGTTGAGATTGCCAAAACAATGCAAGAAGAAAACATCAGTTACACGTTGGCGGCTCCATCCGAATACCAGAAATGGCTCAGCTGTGCAGCGGAACAACTTCGAAACTGTCCTCGCTGGACCCTCGCCATCACGACAGGTGAAGGAGTCCCTCAGAAGCTCTTGCAAAGCCTCCGTGCTCTTGACAGCCCGTCTCTCCAGCTTCTCAACCTCTACAGTCCGACTGGAACATGTTTCGGTTCCACTTGGCAGGGTCTAGTTGAGTATCGCAAGTCAGACGCCAAGTCACCCGTCGCCGCTGGGTATCCTTCACCCAACCAGGCAATCTACATCGTGGATGTCGAGCTGCGGCCTCTTCCAGTTGGTGTCCCGGGCGAGGTGCTCATCGGGGGCGCTGGTATTGCTGATTGCTATGGCAATATGGATAGTACAATGAAGGAGAGGTTTATTGAGTCTCCCTTTTCTCAATTGAACGGCAACTTCACTACCAACAAGTGGGAAACCGTCTATCGCACTGGAGACCGTGGTTACCTACAGAAGGACGGTGCCCTTATCCTGGTTGGCCGTTCAGATGGTGCCACTCAGGTCAATGTTCGCGGCTTCCAGGTTGATTTAGAAGAGGTCGAAAACGCCTTGATCGAGGCTTCTGGGGGATTCTTAACCAATGCTGCGGTCACCCTGAGAGAACATGGTAAGGATCAATTTTTGGCTGCTCATGTTGTCTTTTCCAATCAGACGTCTCAGACGAACTCCCAGGAAATGCTGTTGGACAATCTCTTGATGCGTCTGCCTGTACCAGACTATACGGTTCCTTCGGCTATTGTAGTCTTGGAGGAACTACCATTGGATTCTCACTCCAAAGTGGACCGAACTGCCATCTGCCAGCTGCCTATTGATGAATCTAACATGGTGACCCCGACTAGCCGAGAAATGACATCGATGGAGGCCAGTCTTGCCGAGGTCTGGAAAGGTGTCCTTTCTGCCTCTGTCTCTCCGACCCTTGCTCCCAGCTCTGACTTCTTTCAGGTTGGGGGTACATCGCTGCTAATTGTGATTTTGCAGCGCGCAATCAAGGAGCAATACAAGGTCGCACTGCCAGTAACCGAGCTGGTGGCTACCAAGAGACTCACTGATATGGCCCGTTTGATCGAGGGGAAAGGCGTTTTTGTCTAGGCGTCTTTACTCGGGGTGTATATACTAGTGGATATATTTACTAAAGCTTGGAACGTAATTCTCTATGGCAGACTACTTAGCTATGATGATATTAGGACAGACGAAAAATTTCCGGCGTAGTATCTCAGCAGCAGCTATTCAGTTTGCATGATGCTTTGGCGCAGTGGTCTTTTATTGTGTGCATATCTTAGAGGTGGAGAAAGAGAGATAAGGATGTGATGGAAGAATTTTCACTGTCGTCATCAAACAGAAACGGGAAGGACGGATGCCTGGCTGCCCGTCTCCTCGCTTCTCCCTTGACTCCTTCCACTTCACCCTGCCATGCCAATCCTCTCTTCGAAGAGGGCTCAACCCACCTGTTTCCTTTCTATGTATTCTACAACAATCACGATCTGACCCAGTCCCGAATTACAACAAAACACTAAAAGAGAATAACATAAACAGTGTAAGATACCGGGGAGGAAACGCGACTTGGCTCAGCCCTATAAGGCACGCCAAGTGCGGAACTCCTTCGGGCCATGAGCCAATCAGGGCCGGGCCATCCCGCGCCTTCCGTGGAGCTGCTTTTTTTCTTGCTTTGCGTTTGCTTTTCTGGTGCCTTTTTGGCTTTTGCTTGGACTTTGCTTTGCTTTGCTTGACTCGCTCGCCGACCGACCGGATTGACTCGTTCCACCACCATTCCATTCCTCTCCCTCCCCTCTTCTCCCCATCCGGATTTCTCCCCCTCTCCTCTCCTCCTTTCCTCCTCTCCCTCTCATCTCTCCTACTCCCTTCTTTTCCTCTTCTTCCCCTTCCCCTTCCCTCTCTTCCTTCGGTCACGTTTGGTGTCCAAACCTTCCATCCTGCCGGTCCCACACCCGCGAGAGGAGCTTGTCTCCTCTGGTCGCCTGACCCAACCACCCAATGCCCCCCTCGCAGGACACCTTATCTCCTCTGGTCTCGGACAAGGCCTTCCATCATGAGGAGCATGAAACGAGTGACTTGCCTCCCTCAAGGGTCACTTTAGTCCGCCAGCGACGGAAACTCCGTCTCATCAGCCCGGCGTGGTACCGGAACAGTTTACTGGCCAGCGTGGGCTTTCTAGAGTTCGCCAACGCGGGTGATTTCGCCGCTAATGTGTGGAACGATGTGCCGGTCCCGCTCTGTGCGGTTATCTTCATGGCCATCGGAGGCCCATTGGCCTTGCTCATCAGTGTCGCCGCCCTTTGGGATGGCATCCTCAGTTGGCGAAATGTCCGTATTCTGCAGCAAGAACGACAATACCTCCACGCTCTGCGACTGCAGTACCTCAACCTGCCCCCTTCCGTCTCCGTCGATCAGGCCTCCGTCCGGCTCATTGACCGCCGCCTTGGCGTCAGTTTTCGCGAATTGGGCTCCGAACTCATCGATCGCGTCGTCATGGATGTTTTCCTGGGCATCGGTGCCCTTCTCGTCGGCACTGGTACAATAATGGCTATCTGGGGAGCTCATCGCCATATCTATTATATCAGTAATCTACTGTCTGGCTTTGTGGGCAACTCCTTCGCTGCAGCATACGGCGTCCTTAACGCCGTCTGGTCCCTCTATCTCATCTGGCGATTTTACGGACATGACCGTGCATGCACGCGTTCCTCCGCCATCACACCCTTTCGCGATCGCCTCCACCGTCGCTTCCAATACTTCCAATTACATTCGCTCGTTAGCGGAATCACAGGCCTCGTCGCAGGAGCAGCTTCCATGCTCACCTGCAAACGATGGTGGGGATACGTAATGCTCATCCCCTGCATGATCTTCGAAGTAGGCTGCAACCAGTTCTGGCGAGTCCAGCTGGGCTACGACCGTCCTATTGTGACTGAGCAGCCCCACTGGGGCTTGATCCCCGATTTCAAAGCAAGCAAAGAAGACGACGAAGAGAAGGACAGCGTCCTCCTCGACACGCTGGCGTCCGTCATTGCTATGCAAAACGCCCTCACGCCACATCCGACCGCCATGATCGACGTCGACTGGTCCTCTCTTGACTCCCTGCTAATGTTCATCGTTCACAACCATCTCTTCGATTCCCTCTGCGGCTGGCTCGCGACCCATTCCTCTGTGCCCAAGGATTTCCATCATAATTTATTCCGCCTCTGCGCGGACTATACGGAGATCACTCTGACGCTGGCAGACCTGCGCAGTCTGCCTGAGGTCGAACATCCCCGACTCTTGGACCTTTGTCGCGATTTCTTGTATACTGAGGGCCGGCAGGTGATGATTGGTCGGGAACGGTATTTATTAGAGATGGTCGGGTATACCGCTTGGAAAGATGGTTAGATTATCGACATGTTTTACATTGCATTGCATGCATTTGCATTTGCGTTGATTTTATATTGTGATGCCGTGACGAGTGCGTGTTTTGTTGTATATATGCATGAGACAGCGTCATTTTTGCTTTGGCATACAGCAAGAAGAGAAGACCAGAGATGAGTTGAGAAGATGATCGTGCCGGAACACGAGTCATGATGATGGTTAGATATAAATGACAGTACTAATGTTTTCTTCCATAATTATCTTGCACTTGTATCGTATTGTAGATAGACGGAGTAATGGTTTAAATGTGTTCATATGATTCTATTCAATTGTCATTATGTCAATCGGTTTTCTAGTTTAGTTACTAATCTACTACTAAAAATGATATATAACAATACTTGGCTAACATGCGATGCTGTACCCATTCTGAACGCTCGCTGCTTTTTCATCAAATAAAATCTCGCCCGCTAAAATGCAAATATCCGTTTTCCCTCTCAACTGCAAGCAAGGTTGTGCGCTGCAAAACACAAAATGCGATCGTAAATCCACCCCCCACCTCCTCTCAGTCCCACACCTAGAAGCTAAAAAGCCCACTTCTCCGCTTTCCAAAAGGATAAACCACCAACGCAGCGACAAACAACCCAACCGTAATGCCAATGGCGACTTGGATCATACCAAATCCCAGAATGTTCGTTGACATATCGCTAGACGACGAGCTAGATGTAGTCGAACTCCCCGTTGCGTTCTTCGTAACATTCGACCGGATCTCATCTGCCGTATCGACGCCCGCAATCAGGTTCCCTGTTGCCGCTAGACCGGAGGGCACGAGGACGAAGATCGCCGGTAGGATAGCTGCAGCGGCGTGTCCGTGCCAGAGACGGCTGTATAGGTTGCCCATCACTCCCACGGTGAAGGCGCCGACGGTGTTGGCTACTTGGGAGTTATTTCCTAGGCGCGAGCTGACGAAGTAGTTGGTTACGTAGCCGGCGACGGAGATGGCGATCATGACGGGGGATTGTTTCCATTTGCCTTGGTTGACGATTAGGAGGCAGAGGGAGAAGGCGGCGACGAAGGGGAATCGTTGTGCGTAGGCGTTGCCGAAGCCTCCGGTTGTCGGGCAGGTTAGGTTTGAAGTTGCGTTTTTGTCGATTAGGCCGTAGATGGTCGTGCCCACGGTGACGCCGTAGCCGAGGAAGAGGGAGTAGATGATGGCGTAGACCATGCGGATGGAGCCAGCGACGATTTGTTGGGATTGGAGTTCTAGGCTGCTACAGAGGACGGTGTAGCCGGGGAGGATGAGTGCGATGGAGGATTGGGCGATTGCGGAGAAGCAGAATATGTAGTCGTTGGATCCGTTGGTGAAGGAGGATGACTTGATACTGCCGAAGGCGCGGGCGAGGAAGGAGGTGAGGACGGCGGCGGTCACTTCGAAGACGTTGGAGTATAGAACTGATCGTGGGGCGAGGATGTGCTGCATGCAACCGAGGAGGCAGCCGTTGAAGAAGATTATTGGCATGTCGATTGGTCGTGCGTCGAACGCGAATGGGCCTACCATGGCAGTGGCTAGACCGTAGATTAGGACGATGAAGTATCGGTTGAATCGGGGCTTCTTTGCCATTAGCTCTTCTAGTTCGTTTCCCGCTTCTTCGATCCCTATCATGTCGTGGATGACGTTCTTGTATACGTTGTGGGTATCTGATAGTCGTCCTAAATCAACGCCTTGCACGACACGAACTAGTTTGACTTCGGTGGTTCGAGTGCTGGAGTCATCGAATGACATGATCATGCATCCCGGGACATAGAGGAACTGGCTGTCAACGTCTAGTACTTTGGCCGTCATGCGCATGTATTCCTCGAGGCGATGGGTTGGAGCTCCGAATCTCATTAAAGCCTTGCACAGTTGCATGATGTATCTCTGTCGGGCAATGATCTCGGCAATCTGGAGGGTTACTTGGATCTCCTCTTCAAGTCTCATGCTGTGCCTTCGACTCTTGTCTCGTCGTCTAGATGCAGCGCTTAGAAGCTCGCCGGTAACAGGTGTACTTGCACCGCTAGCACTGCCGCCTCCGACTAAGGTTGATGTGGATACGTTGCCGGGCTTCTTGTACCATCGGACTTTTTCCTTTCGTGGAGTCGTGGTGCCCGGGGTGCTTCCACCAAAGGGGTAGAACGTGTCACTGGCTAGGTGAAGCCCGCGCGCTCCTTTGTGGAATTGGTCCCAACCCCCGCTAAGTCTGAGCAGCTGAGATAGAACGCCTCCCGATCCCGAGCTGCGGCGAGGTATCGCTTCGTTTCCAGAGTCTTCATCCTGGGCAGAAACTCCAGCGGCACGATGCAAAGCCGAGTCCCTACGGGCACTCGGGCGACGGCCAGAAGCTTCATGTGCCAGCTCGCGGACGATCCGATGTGCTTCGGTGCTACAGGTTTGGTCTTGATCTTCTCCTCTGGCATGCAGGTCAGGTTCGGTGTCACGACGTCGATGGTCGATGGGTTGTAGGTCGTCTTCGTTAATATCTTCTGGACGACCGAGACGAGCAGCAAAATTCGCAGCTTTTTCTTTGATTGAGTCTCTGAATGCTTTCAGACGTTCGCGTCTGGGTCTTTTCTCACTCGTCGTCGTCTGTTGTTGCTTCTTCTCATTCTCTTCATCCCGGCCATTTGTACTGGTAGACTGTAGGCCTCTGTGGGATACATCGGTTATGTCGACTGATGCTTGAGCAGATGAACGGCGTCGAAGACGAGATGTACCGGGTGAGGAAACGCGTTCGTCTGCATCCCAGATCCCATATTCGAACCTGCTATCCGCCCCGAAGTGAACGCGATGAGTACGGTGACCACTGGGTGAGGAATCACTTTCGGGGGTGAGATCATGTCTTTTCTCAACGTCGAAGTCTGCATTCGGTCTCTCGACGCTGTGATAACTGATCAAGGAGCTAGAGCTTGATTCATTGCTGCGCCTTCCTTCGGACATTATTCCCGCTTCCTGGTGTGATGCAGGTCTAGAGGGAGATTTGTCGAAGTATGAGTGATGAGAATCGGATAGTGGTGTCCCTGTTGGCCTATCACAGGCATCTAACACCACAGTGCAACAGTATGTACGGAACGTCTCCTGCCACTGTGTGCGATTCACCATCCAGCGAGAAAGGTGATTTTCCCTTCAAGCCGAGTGGGAAAGGTCGCTCAGGACACCCCCATTGAATACACCAGCCCCGCTTAGCGAGATTTCCTGTTCAGAAGGAAGAGAATGGTTAACAACAGTATTGTTCAGAGTGATCTGCTAACAATAGTAGCAAGATCCAACGAGTGAATAAGCCCGCCACGGGGGCAAAGATCTCTTCTCTTCATCGGCCAGACGTCATGGAGGGCTAGATTGTGAGTAGGACCTGCTAGCGTGGCCGGCGAGGCATATGTAACCTTATCTGGCCGAGAACAGAGTCGATGACGCATCTGGTTCCAACGGTTCGGTCTAGGCTTTTGCAGCCAACGTCTCTTCACAATGGTCCTCTTCATGTCTATGATCCACGGTCAGCAGTTAACAAGCAATCACGGACAGTCTCCACAGACCGTACATGTCAGGAACAATTGATGGTTTAACTAATGGCCAGGCACGCATTTAGTCCGTTTAGGATCGGCCGATTAAAATAGCCTGGACTGATCCGGGACCTGTGCATCCGATGAGTCTTTACCGAGACAATCGGAACTTTGCCGTAAGCTGATGATCGAATGACGAAAAATACTAGGTACAATGAAATCATAAAGTGGTGGGTTACAGGAGGAATTGACTTGTTCACATGCAAGCTGCGTTTTAATCAGGTGACCAGCCGTGCTCCCTTTCACGTCACGTGGTCTCCTGTTCCTCAATGCTCTCTTTAACAACTTCATACTTGAAAGTCATTGTATTATTCACTCGATGTGATTGTTAGTGGAAGTAGTCATTTTATATGAATGGTGTGCTAATGTTCCAGAGCTTGAGCATATACTATGTTGAGTCTCATAGAAGAGGACTGAAAGGCAATCGGCTACCTTCATGGATGGCGAGGGTAGTTAGGTAACATGACATGGCTATATGACCACGTCCTGTACTATACGACGTGATCCCTCTACCATCTAGAAGACCTTTGTTATTCGGCATCATGTAAACAGAGTGTTACAGATGACCAAAGAGCAGGCTCTTTGGTATCACAGACTGTATCAGAGCAGCAGAGGGGAACGCCACATTGCAAAGTTGATGTCAGTTCGGGTTTACATGCAGGCTCCCCGGTTGCAGTTACAGCCCTTTCAACACTCAGGGTTTCATCTTGACTGCGCTATACTTTGACCGGATCAAATGTCCGACATCAAGTATGCGAGAGGCTGGACTTTCTAAGAGTACCACGCAAAGGTCCAGGCCTTGTGCACACATCAATATGCTGCATCACAAGCCACTGAGTGATAATCAGAGGTCGTGCCAGTTTCAATAATGACTATGCGCATCTCACCGTCACGTCACTGTGGCTTGTCTTCTCCTATGTCTAATCCTTAAGGGATATGTTTATAATTTAGCAGAAGTGCAACCTGGCAACACAGATATTCTCGTCTCGCTCCTTCATATCAGTCCTTATCAGCGTTTCAGTCATCATGTTCGGAATCATCAACTTGCCTAGTCGCTCAACCGGCACTGTGTCCAGAGCTTCGAGTTCCAAGAAGCGTTACGCACCCATCGTTAACGAGCTTCTCCAATTACTCGACAAATCGTTTCCTTATGCTTCTGGCATGGAGGCCCTCGAGCAAGCTGTCCAGTCTGCGCTTCAGTACAGGATCGTTGAGATGGAAAGCTACGGACTCACCTCTGCCAAAGGTTTCCTAAACTTTGCAACCTGGATGGTTGATGGTTGGATACCCACCGAGTCAGCAAAGGGTAGAGACATCTACTATATCTTGTGCATCTTCTATTTCGTATTTGACCAAGTCCCGCTCAAGGATTGTCAAACTGCGATTAGGCCCGAATCTGTGGGGCAGGATCTGTCCGAGCTCTCCCAATGGATGGTGAAGTTTGCCAAGGAAGTTGGAAGCCACATGGACCGACCAGAGTCGCTGAACGAAGCATCACTCACTTCATTCTGGAATGCTCCAAGCTTCCATGTATTCGAGGCGGATGAATCCAAAACCGAAGGGGGAAAATGGACTAATTTCAATCAATTTTTCTGTCGTCATCTCAAGGATGGCGCACGGCCCATTGATGGCGAGGGTGACGACAACATTGTCATCTTCCCTGCAGATTCAACCTTCTCCGGTTACTGGGATATCACTGACGACTCGATGGTGGAGCTGAAAGGTCTGCCATGGCATATAGGCGATCTTCTTGGGCCATACAAGTCCGACTACGGCGAGTCTTTCAAGGGTGGGATCTGGTTGCATTCTTTTCTGAACTCATTTGACTATCATCGCCAGCACGCGCCGGTGGGAGGTACTGTCAAAGTCATCGACACTATTGATGGCGCGGCCTACCTAGATGTTGAATATCAGCCTGATAGTCGGTCGTTGATGCCAAAACGCCCTATGCGTCCTATATACTCCTCGGGGCCTGTTTATCGGGGAGCGGAAGCGACGGATAAAGAAGGATATCAGTTCCTGCAAGCACGAGGGATCATCATAATAGAAAACGACAAGATAGGCACGGTTGCTGTTTTACCAATCGGCATGGCACAAGTCTCTTCTGTGGTGGTCAGAGACGACCTCAAGCCAGGTGCCACCATCAACAAAGGTGACGAAATCTCACATTTCGAGTTTGGTGGCTCGGACATTGTGGTGATGTTTCAGGGCGAAAAGATAGACCCCCATACTCTCCCACAGCCATTGTCACGCAAAAGCGAAGAGCCTTTGTACGAGCACCATAACTATGGAGAGATCCTCGCTAAGGCCAAGTCAAAGTCCAAAGCCTAAATGATTGCGGCAAGTCGGCACGATGGTGGAAAGTCCTTCATCGTCTCGCAGAGTTGAGGGAAATTGTTTAATTAACGAATCCTGAAGGCAAGAGGCAATTTGCAATTGTTTGTAACTCGTTTGCAATGAGAACTTGATTTCTCGATTTCTCAAATGTAGTAAGGTCTAGCTGTCAAGAATCCCAATTGCCGGATCATGGCATCTCATATTCTATGGTGCTTTTGTGGTAATTGTGGAACAAAAAAGAGTCATCAGGACGAATGTAAGAAACGGTATGCTATGAAACCGTTTGTGCCTGAGGTGTCAATATAGGCTCGGCTAACGGACCAATCCCAAAATAGCCTAGCGTATAGTCTCTAGTGGCTGACATCAGCCGTGCACTCGTACATCTCTCGCCTCCATCTGGGAAGTTCCTAACGCTCTGCTTGCTTACTTTCTCAGTCCTAGTGTTTCTCTCAGTAATTAATCTCACTGTGGGGGGCTGTTAATAATGCCACCTCAAACCCGAGCAATTCAACATGGCGAAAGTGTAGGGGAGAAAAAGCGAAAACCTGTGCGCCGTGACCCGGAGAAGAGGCGGCAACAGAACATTCAAGCCCAACGCAGATACCGTAAGTGCGGGTCTCATCTGGAGTCACCACATCGGGGATTAGCTCTCAAAATTACTGATTACGTACTCATTTAGGAGAAAAGCTCCGTGAGCGCTTGGGTCGTCTCGAAGCGCTGGCAGAGTCTGCGGGACAGACCTCCGTCATTGAAAGCAACCCGGCTTCGGGCATACAACCAAGTGGGGCGATCACAGCGCCTGGCCTACCCATCGCTTCAAGTACTATCGTTCCAAAGACTCTTCCACTCTATGATGCTTCGGATGAATCGGTTCCGTGTACATCTGTGGCGACCCTTAGTAATTGCCAGCAACTTATCCCAATCTCAAATGGGAGTCCGCCGACGTTATACACATCAGACTCCACCACAACACCCTATCTATATTCTGATGAATCTCCCTCAACAATAAGTGCATGGGATCCTCCATCATGTGTGGATCCTTCTCTTCTCGTTCGCGAGAAGCCCAGTGATAGCCTGGAGCTGTATTGGACAACCACCATTGACTGCGGCTGTACCAGTCCGCATTTCCGAATACAGACAGACGGTCCAGACCTTCTCGGCCGTAATGAAGTCAGGGTGTTCAGGTTCGGCGCCAATACAACTACAGCCGATCCATATATCAATAGTCTCCGGATTGATAGAGTTTGCACTATTGCCGCAATTCTTGATCTTGTTAGGCATTTAGGCATTACGGAGGAAGGGTTATGTGCTGACCAATCTCCCTCGCCATTCTTTCGGCCCGGCGCAGTGATGGTAGACGATACAGCCAGGAGCAATTTGATTCGCACTGTACAAGAAACATTCAAGACTCTAAAGCCAGATCTGAGGCCATCTCAAGAACAAATCACTATCGAGCACCATCCGATCATAGACATTCTACCTTTCCGAACGCTACGGAGAAACCTCATCACTCGCCAGCACGATATAGATGAGGATGAGTTCTTCGACGATATGCTTTCTGGCTTAGTATGCTGGGGAGGTGCTGGCATTTGGAAGAGGGATCGGCAAGTCTCCACTGGGTATGCATCGACAGGTACTCCGTGGGATGTCCGTAGTTGGGAGGGAAAGGTGTGGTTTCTGAGGAAGTATTGGACGCTTTTGGGTGGTGAAGATGGTGAGCTCGTAAGACAAAGTGAATGGTGGCGCAGTATCAGGGGAGACGAAAGTGAGCAGGAGGCCATGTGGCTAGGATAGAAACTAGCTGTGTGACATTTAAATGTTCGGCGTGTCATAGACGATACATGCCTCAGATACCATCAGTTAAATATTGTACAATGCTATCGGCATCTCCTTTAACTAAACTACTTAGCCTTGTAGTTTATCTCGAACCATCCAATGGTCAGGAAGCGTATCATATATGCCGCTGCTACTCGTTGAAAGATCCGACTACTAAATTTTAATATAATATAAGATCTTGCTCCATGCTCTTAGACGAAGGTAGACAAGGAGAACATTTCACGTCACGAAAGTGACCACTTATTGCATGGGGGCGACTCTCTAACTTTGTGGAAGAGCCATACTCAGGTAACTGTCTAGTAGAATTTGATGTCAAGGCAGACTCATCCTGGGCATGTTTGACTCTAGCCTGTTTTTCTTACCTGTGAAACTTCAGTCTCCTTCGTTGGCTCCTCCCACACTTTGGAACCACAGCTAGGTGGTGTAGTGAATGATGATAAGTGGGTATTTGACTTGACCCTCTGTATATTTTGGTTGAACAGTTGGGGAAATTCCTTGTTCCTCTGACTTGAGATCAAGAGTTGCTCAATTATGGTTCAGAGTAAGACATTATGCAACTCTTAATAGAGTTGATAATTAATTAGTCATAGGCTAATTCAGGTGTCTACCCAGCAATTGTGGCTCCGTGTTTGTGCTCAATCGGCTACAAAACCCGCAGCTATCTTTTTATCGACTGTCTGGCTCACTACCTTACTTTACTTGCAGGCCACTCAGCGAAACTTCTCCTCCTTCCCCTCAATCACCACGTTCATCATTGCGCACGATGCCTATGAGAAGATTGAACAGAGTCAGCAAAGGTAGAAGACCGCCACCTCTACGCCTCCCTCCTTTTTCATCCCGTCTCTTTGATCCAGATCAAACGGTGATAGGTATACATAAGCAAGATACTATCTGTGAGTATTACACACCAGTGCATACGCTGCGCATGTTCAGATCCTCCCAAGCAACAGAAAAGACTTCTCATCTGGGCAGGAAGAGTTAAGCTTGAGCTAATGACCGTACCAGCGGATGACAGCAAAAGTGTGCAATTTTTTCCAGCTGGCTCTGTCTCCAAGACTCTCAACTTCTATCATATGAATTCTGATGATAACGATAACAATCATGGACTAAAGAACCCCAGACCATTACCGTGGAGCCAGAGCAGACACCCGTGTCCCTTCAGCACGCGTTCCTCGTGCGGAAGGTGAAATGCGATAATGGGGGGCTTGAGTTCAGCTCGATAGTTGTGCAAAGTGTTCACCTCAAACGGGTCTTGGCAATGGTCATGGATGGCTACCCTGGCATTTCCATGTCACACGAGGGCGTAGAATTCAGCAAGCCCTTCAAACCATTTATCCACAGATGGAAAATATTTGCTGAAGCTCGAGGCAAGGAATTCGAAGCAGAAGCTAAGGCCCATGTGGACTCACTCTACGAAGTCCTGTCAACAGAACTCAACGATGTCATCACTCGCAAGAACGACCTTGTCCTCTATAACGTGATCACTTTCAACATGCTCTGGACCATCTTCGAGCCAGGTCATATAATTTTAAGCATCGTGAACGGCTGCGAGCGCGCCTTTCGGCTTGAAGGTGGCGAATACACTTCAGATTCGAAAGAATTCAAGATCTATGCAGTCTACATTGATTATAATGGCCACGTATTTGGGTACAGGAAGTACAACCTCTCAATCCCAGCCTTTGAAGGCACCACGTCTATTATGATGTTGCCAGTGATCCCTTTCGAGTACCATAACGACAAGCACGCACTGCGCAAGAACCTGATCCTTCGTGGACAGCGCTGGTATCAGCACAAAGGTTTTCACTATAAACTATACAATGGATTAGGTCTGGTAACGTATATGGGCCGAGAGATTGGTCATAATATAAGCAGTCGGGTTATGGTTGACACGGAAACGTATCTCGCGTTCCACTCAGACAAGTTCTCAATGGAATTAGAAGACATATCCGAGCCACTGGCTGATGAACAATTTCTTATCGCAACTCCAATTTTGCGCGGCTACTCTCTCGATGACAGAAAATGGATGGAGTTCTTTGTCATGGGCGTGTCAGATATTATCTGGAACCCGCGACCCTTTACCTCTTTGGTCCTGCCGGATGGCATAGACGAAGATCTGAAGGACCTAGTTCTTGCATTTACCAGTTCTCAGTCAGCTAATTCTGAATTCTTTGACAATGTACCTCAAGGGAAAGGCCGCAGTGTCACCATGCTCCTCCACGGCCCTCCAGGTGTTGGCAAGACCCTTACGGCTGAATGTGTCGCCGAAGTGATGAAAGTGCCGCTTTACGCTCTGAGCGCGAGAGCGCTGGGAACGACTGCTGTGCAAGCTGAAGAGAGTCTGCAATTTGCCCTTCGTATGGTCGACAAATGGGGTGCTGTGCTGCTTATAGACAATGCAGATATTTTTATACAAGAACGCAACCCCAGCTATCTCCAGAACAACGAGCTATCGTATGTACTATTAACACTGCTGGAAAACTACGAGGTATGTACCCAATACAATGCTCAAAAATAGTCCTAACACAACTCCCACTAGGGAGTATTGATCCTGGCTAGTAATGGCGTTGAGACCATAGACCCTGCTTTTGAAAGTCGTATCGATGTCCACATCCATTATTCCGAACTTGATGATGAGTCCCGACGCCATATCTGGAAATGCTTACTCGGAGAGACGGAGACGGAATTATTCTCAAAGTATGAACTTCGTAACCTAGCGGGTCGCGAACTGAATGGAAGACAGATCAAAAAGTTGGTGAAATCTGCCAGGACCCTCGCTCGCTATCAGGGAACTAAGCTGAGCTATGAACATATCTTGACTGTCATGAAGCTGGTGCATCCAGCTTATGGGTGGACAGATTGTTGAATCGTGAAATGCTGTCTATCTGTCGCTGCTCGACCTTCTTTCATTCCATTTGTCAATATGCATTCTACCAGCAAGTCTAAGGGTTAAACTACTTAGGGTTATTTCACAAAGGTATCGTATCTCATACTACTAATCCCACTAATTATCAATGACAATGAATCGAATCGGGTAATGCTGGTCGTCTCTTACTCCTCGTGCACATCTTTTCTCGTAAGTGTTCAAGCATAATTGGCCAAACATAATTGGCTAGGTACTTCAAATAACCATGAGTTCCCCCCTGTTCTGCAAGTTTGAGCAGTAACAGTACCTTTCTATTGACGCCATATACTGTTACTTCTCCGTAGCCCAGTAGGAAAATATGGTCACCAACAATGTATGTCCTCCAGACTTGGTGTACCTCGTTGTCCCAACTACTCTCCCTGAGTTCGTGAAAGTCAGAAAGGCCGCAACTCTCTACTCCGTACAGCGTTACATTCTACCCCTTGGTTCCTGAGGCCCTGGAAGCTGACCTGAATGGGGAAGCCAGTGGGGCCGTCGCGGGGTGGGGCCGCCTGACTAAGGCATTCGGGGACAGATCCTCCCCCGACAGCTCCGGAGTAAGCAGCATTTCCTGACGCGCGAGTTGCCAATCCATCAATTTGGGGGTAACTATCCTATACCCCGAATATGGACAGTATATCAGAAGTTCTACTATGAATACAAAGATACTGACAAGCTTTCCACCTAATAATGTAACCACCTATGTCACAAATGGGTCACAGAGTGGATATCCATGGACCTCGATGGCAGGTCACATGATTGGACGGGGAAGGCCAGACCGCCTGGGATTCGCCGCTCGGTATTTTATTCCTGCAAAAAAAACTTTCCTGATTTTGCCCAGGCCAGGCTAATCTCTCCTGCACTCTTCGATCTCTTCTCTGGCCCCTGGAGTTTTTCGTTACTCAAGTGCCGCTGAGCATATTGGAAGATATCATTTTGTCTCACTAACCTCCGGCAAGATGCAGCCTGTTGCTCACCAGTCGGGAGGCGCGTCTGGAGATCCGCTCCCGCCGTCACTGCCGACGGAGGCGATCGAAGAGAAGGCCAGCGTGTCTAGCTTGGGATCATGGAACCATTTGATTGCTGGCGCGTGAGTTGATTCGATGCTGTGGTCGAGAAGCTCAATACTGATGATTTGAAATAGTACCGGTGGAATGGTCACTGCTATTGTTACGAGTCCTCTTGATGTTCTCCGCACGCGGTAGGATAAGCCTTCATCCCCAACGCAAGAATTAACGGAGCTTTGCATACTAACATATCTTGTGCTTTTAGTTTACAAACCGACTATTACCAGACGTCAGGCGCGAACCGCTCGATTCCCACACACGCGCACGTTCGTCAGTCGTTCGTTAAGACTTCTATCCGCCATTTCCGGGAGACATTCGGCATTCTTTTCTCAATCCATCGTGTTGAAGGCTGGCGGGGTATGTTCAAGGGTCTCGGACCCAGCTTGACGGGTGTCGTCCCGGCCAGTGCGGTGAAGTTCTACACATATGGCAACTGCAAGCGCCTGCTGCCGGAGATCTTGGGCTGCGACAAGGATACAACTCTGGTACATGCCATGTCCGCAGCATGCGCTGGTATCGCCACTGGCTCGGCCACCAACCCCATCTGGGTGGTAAAAACTCGTCTTCAGTTGGATAAGGCCGGTGCTCGCCGGTACAAGAACAGTCTGGATTGCACCAAGCAGATTCTGCAACAAGAAGGACCTAAGGGTCTCTACCGAGGTCTGACGGCCAGCTACCTGGGCACAATCGAAACCACCTTGCATCTGGCTATGTACGAGCGGATTAAGGGACTCATCTCCAAGGAGGTCAATTTGGATAAGAACTCGGATTCGAACAAGTTTGTGCAGGGCCTTGCTCTGAGTGGAGCGTCGGGATTGTCGAAGCTGTTTGCTTGTTTGATCGCGTATCCTCATGAGGTGAGTTGACGCGTCGGAAGTCTTCCGACATCAGCATATGCTGACATTTGCAGGTTATCCGTACTCGACTTCGACAGGCTCCGATGGCGGACGGTCGCCAGAAGTATACGAGCATCCTCCAGTGCGCGCGGTTGATCTTGAAGGAAGAGGGAGTGATCGCGCTGTATGGAGGTTTGACGGCACACCTTCTCCGCACGGTGCCGTCGGCCGCGATCACCATCGGGACTTACGAGCTGGTTCTCAAGGTCCTTGAGGGACGTTAAAGGATATGACGGGCGGCGGCCAGACCCCGCGACTTCCCTTCTCATGTATTATAGACTGTACGATAAAAGTGGCACATAGATACCCTGTAATAATGATGTGAACAGCAGCGACTGCAATAGGGTCTCGTTTGGCGACATGGAGTTTGCACCTCGATCAGGGAGCTTTGCATAATCTGGATGTTACTTTCTCCGGTGACTTTATCTTAGCGCAGCAGTTGAACCATCTCAATACCATGATATTCATTCTTACTTTGTCTTATGTTGGAATTTAATCCTACGCCTATTCATCATAAAGTGGTTTGTACAGATGTATAGTTAGTAGCCTTCGATCGGCACTGGACGGAACGTCATGGTGCTTGAAACAAGTCAAACAACCAGGCAGAATTTCGGTGGACTTAACCAGGAGTTGGAGAGAGTTCCGCAACAGTTAGTTTGGTAGACAGACGAACTAAGTTTTAGTTTATGGTTCAGCGGCGTCCTCCGAGTGGAGATGTAGAAGCGCGCACTGATGACTGAAGATTGAGTCTTTGACCCAAGCAAGTGGGCGACGCGGGTCATCTCCGACCGGCTTTTGCCTTCGCTAACAATAGATACTTATTACGTGCAGAACACAACTAATCCTACACTATCCTACACTATACTAAACTAGAGCCGATATCGTGCGTGGCAGATTAAGGCTTCCGTGTTCTGCCGTTAGCACGCTTCACTAGCATCAGACTAGCCATGTAGGAGAATACATCCGACGCAGTTGCAGACACTCAATCTGCGGGCGCAACGATCGAGCCAGTGACAAGCGAAGTTCTAGAGTGGCCGTGGTTGATTAGTGCAGCAGCCATTTCCAGGGAACAGGGAATACGGGATGGCCATTGGTCTCACCTCCTGGCCGGGCGGTGGATCCCCCATTCCTTTCTTCTGCGGGATTTCCTTTGCGCGGACTCCAGCGCAGTCTATAGCACTGCTCATCGATCATCACTATTTGCTGCAGGTAAGCAGACAAAGAAGAAGATTAAACTCATACTTTTGAATGATGGATGGAAAAGGATAAATCTGAGGATAATTTGGATGACAGCAAGCTTACCAGACTGTCAATCAGGTTCCCGCCAGCCGATCTTACTTCTTTGCGTTGCCCATTCTCATTTCCATGCCTTGCAGAGGGCCCAGTGGCACACAATCCAATCTTGCCATCCCGGTGATCGGCGACCCACGACTTCCCCCCATGTGGGGGGCGTGCAGCCGGAGTGAGGAGATGCAACAAGAGGTCCGTGGAAGACCGCCCTGCAACCCCAGCACACGAACACAGGAAAATGGCCAGCAGTTCCAGGGATGTCCTGACGGCAACCCGGAGGACGTCTCCCTTTCTTTTTTCTGACCCTCCTTGCAACAGGATTGTCTGTGTCACGGACCTTGACAGCCAAACTGATCCGAACTGAAGAAGTCGAGGATCGAGAAGGTTTGCTCCGTTGCTTGGCAAACTCAATCCGATCCCTATAATTGCTGCTCTCTTCCCCCGTGACTGGCCTCGACTTCAATCTCTTTTGATCGTTTGGCCTCCTTTGACAATCTCGTTGTGTCTCGTATCCAGCTTGACCTCCCTTTTCCTCGTCTGCGCGCCCATATCTCGAGACAATGGCCGCAAAGGCATCTCCTACGGCCGTCTCGGCCAACTCAGGCGCAGAGGAAGTTGGACTGTCGGATCCCGGAGATTCGCAACTACTAGGTGAGTTTGCGACCGGTTGCTCATGGACGAGGGTAAGGGCGCCCATGCTAACTGATACCAGCCAAAATGGGCTATAAACAGGAACTCCGTCGCCAGTATTCCACCGTGCAAATATTCGCCGTCGCGTTCAGTATTATGGGACTAGTACCATCCATCGCATCTACACTTTCGTTTTCCTTACCCGCCGGGCCTGCAGGGATGATCTGGGTGGGTATCTGCATTTGGGGTTACAGCTCGCGTGACACGAGCTAATATCATGCAGGGCTGGTTTACCGCAAGTATCTTGATCTTCTTTGTTGGATTGGCCCTGGTATGTGGTTCTTCGCCCCTAGTACATGCCAAGCCATGCTAAGATAACGTTATAGGCCGATATGGCATCGGGCATGCCCACAGCTGGTGGTCTATACTGGTGGACGCACTACTTCGCTGGGAAGAAGTATAAGAATGTGTTGAGCTTTCTGGTTGGCTACAGCAACACGCTGGGCCTGATCGGCGGAATCTGCTCTGTGGATTGTAAGTTCTCACTGGCCCCTAAGATGGAATAGGTGCTAATTGCCAGACACTCTCGCGCTCATGATCCTCGCCTGCGTGTCTATCACCCGCGATGGCAGCTATTCCGCCTCCAATGGCACCATCTACGGCGTCTATGTCGGTCTCATCCTAGTCCACGCCGTCGTCAGCGTCTACTCCGGGCCGATCATGCCGCGCATCCAGACATTCTGCATCTTCATCAACATTGCCATCATCATCGCTACAGTCATTGCTCTGCCCGTCGGCAAAGTGACTCGCGGGGAGTCCCTCAACGCAGGCACTTGGGTCTTTGGGCACGTCGACAACGAGAGCACATGGCCAACAGGGTGGAACTTCATCCTCGCCTTCCTCGCGCCAATCTGGTCGATCGGATTCTTCGACTCTTGCGTGCACATGAGCGAGGAAGCCCTCCACGCCGCCAAAGCAGTTCCCCTCGGAATCATCTGGTCCTCCGGATGCGCATGCGTATTTGGATTCCTAGTCATCAGCATTATAGCCTCGGTAATGAACCCGGACGTCAACGCAACAATCAACTCCGTCTTCGGCCAGCCCATGGCCCAAATCTACTATGATGCACTCGGCAAAAAGGGCGCGCTCGGATTCATGGCCGTGCTAATCGTAATCCAATTTCTAATCGGCCTGAGCCTGGTATGCCCTCCCATCCCCTATTCCACATCCAACATCTACAATTCACCCAATTCTCGATACTAACCCAACAAATAACAGATCACCGCTGCCTCTCGCCAAGCCTGGGCCTTCTCCCGCGATGGTGCTCTCCCCTTCTCGAACTACTTCCGCCACGTCAGTCGTCGCATCCGCTACCAGCCCGTGCGCGCAATCTGCGGCCTCGTAGCAGTCAGCATCGTTTTCGGTCTGCTCTGTCTCATCAACTCCGTCGCAGCGAACGCACTCTTCTCGCTCTTCGTGGCCAGCAACTACGTTGCGTGGGCGACACCTATCCTCTGCCGCTTAATCTGGGGCAACGAGCGCTTCACGCCGGGGGAGTTCTATACGGGATTCATGAGTCGCCCGATTGCGATTATTGCGGTGCTGTGGTTGGCTTTTGGGTTGATGTTGTCGATGTTTCCGACGACGGGGCCGAATCCGAGTCGTATGTTAATCCCTTTTTCCCAGACCCATAGGAAGTTATTTTATGGGGAATTGTGCTAACTTATGCGTTATAGCATCCGATATGAACTACACCATCGTCATTAACGGGTTCGTGTGGGTCGCTTGCATGGCGTATTACTTCCTGTTCGCGCGCAAGTGGTACACAGGGCCGAAGATGACAGTGGACGGGGTAGAAGAGGAGAAGCCAGAGTCAGAGACAGAAGAGAAGAGAGATGAGGCGCATACTAGTGCTTCCTACTAATTATACAGTTTACATATATATACCAATACTAATAGACAAGAATGAAACAACTTGATATGTTATAATCCAAAATCAAAACATCATATACATTGGTATCAATCATCATCACCCGTCCATCATCAACAACAAAACCCCCTTCAACTCAACCTCCACCCCTTACAAAGCAGCCATAACCCCCAAAACACCCGCAACACCCACAACTCCCATCCCCAATCCAACACCCGGCGTCGCCATAGCCACACCCGCCCCCTCACTCGTCGAACTCGTCGCACTAGCACTCGATCCACTAGCAGTACTAGCCGCACTTCCCGTCGCACTCGCCGTACTAGCAGTCAACGTCGTCTTCCCACTCATCGTCTCCGTACTCGTCGGCTGCCCATTCGACCCCGTCAACGTCGTCGCGCTCTCCCACCGAGAAGTAATCTCCGACGCTACATCCGACGCCTTAGATCTGATATCCGAGGCCGCCGCCGACGCATCGGACCGCGCGTCCGACGCCACCGATGTACCCCAGGATTCGGCGTTCGAGGCCACTTCCCCGCCCGCGGACGTCAGGGAGGAGTATGCCGCTGCGCCGCCGGTCGCGACGTCAGAGGCAATGGAGGTCGCATCGTTGGCGATGTTGGTTGCCAGGGATTCGCCCCCCGATACGGCCGTTTGGGCGATCCCGATGGCGTCGCTGACGACGTCGGGTGCGGGGGTGGTGAGGGAGGGGGTGGCCAGGAGGGCGGTGGTGAGGAGGAGGGAGGTGAGGGCGTATTTCATTTTGGTGGTTTGTATTGGTTTTGGTTTGGTTTGGTTTGGTTGTGGTGTGTGGAAGGTTTGTATGTGTGTATGTATGTATGTATGTAGTGTGGTGGATTAGGTTCGGTAGTAGATAAAACCCCGATGTATGGAGAAAGTAGTAGCAGATGTAGATATGATTGATAAGTAGAAAAATATGTAAGGAAGATGGAGCAGGAAAAGCAAAGTATTTATAACCCTCCCTCCTCCCAGAGGCTCAAATAAGGATCACCAGGGCAATAGTACAGTCCCCGGCTCAACAGGATAAGAATAGCACCCCTACTGTGTGTATGGGACAGTGCCTAGCCTAGCCACCGTGGCAATGAAAATCCACCAAGGCACCGACGAATCAAAATCCCATCGCAAATTGTAAAAGTGGATGGGGGGTCGAGCCATCCATCATCGGTAATTCGACGGAACACGGCATCGTGGCTCCACTATGAGGACATTGGACTCATTTCTTTTGGGGGTAGGGTCCACGCAATGCGATTCCAGGTTTGAATCTGGAGAGTTGATGAGACAAAATGGGGCATAGGGCACGGTTGGAGTGGGAATGGTGTTGCCTGTGATGATGACGTTTGCTTTCTGTTTGCTTGCTAGTTTTGCATGTTATTCGTGGGCTTGGCTTAGTTGCTTATGATGTGGTTGAGGTTTTTTTTACAGTATCTTGTTCTTGTTAGTAAACTTGTGGCTGTGGCGTGGCGCGGCTTGGCTGGTTTCACAGGAACTGCAACTGTTCACCACAGTCAGTCAACTGGCAGTGTGCTTATTGCAGTATAACTGCAGCAGTAGGGAATGGTACTGCCACCACCGAAATAGAAATTATCCGTGAACTCCGAATCTTGGAATCATCCTGGTTCGTCCGTTGGGTTGCGAAACTGGCTCTCATCCCGATTCGCTCTCTTTTTGCGGTTGTGGCTTTGACCGGTTGCCACCACATGATTGACTGGGATTTGGGTTCTGCCTGCTCTGCTCACGATGGAGTGTATCTGATTGTTGAATACTACTGGATATTTTATTCTGGCTCACAGGCAGCACTATACCATTGAATTCTAATCCAGATGTCTGTCTTGAGCTTGTGACTGTCTTGAATTGTTGTACTACACTGATCGGATATATCGGCCCGGATTGAACGGGAGAAGGATCGTCGGAGTTGTGCCTTGGCTTCGGTAGTTCTGACGAAGAGCGTTTCATGTGCGTAATTGTCTCTTGGTATTAGGGGATTCGTGAACGCGGATCCGGTCATCGACCCTTCGAGAAAGCGCAGTGTAATGGACTAGACTATAGAGGGAAATGGTGAGCTGTATGGATTCCGGGGGATCCGGGGATGTGGTGGGATTGTTCGCTTAAGAAGCAATCGTGCTATGCAAGTTAGCATCCTGAATTGTATAGTTGGATTGAAAAGACACCCGTAGTGTGACTGATTGTTTGCTTGCTTGCTGGCTGTTGTGGTTTCAGCTTGCAGAGCATACGTTGCCTTGAAGCCACTTGGGGTCCCGCTGGTGATCTAGATTCAGTCCGGTCATCTGATGAGAGACCCTTAATGCCTCAGTCAGGGAATGTTGGTGCCTCAGGTGGCTGGCGGTCCCGTGGCCCGACCCTGTAATCTTATCGAAAGTTCAGCACCACTTTCATGTTAATCGCACGAGGTTGATCTTTTCTCTTGACAATTATTTATTAGCGAAAGTCACTATCCCGGATGATGCGATTCAGTACTTTCCAAATGTTTGTAGTCTTGAATGTGCAGCCTGTTCAGACCGCTACTTAGCATGTAGCTTACCCACTCAACTAGTAACCAAGCTTGCAGTCAGGATTGAAATACAATGCGGAAAAGTGGCCTTCATCAATCAGTTTTCAAAATAAATTTCTTCGAAAGCATAAGCACATTGTCCCGGGCCCCTCTTAAACAAAGGTACCTCCGTTTTACCGCACTCTGTACTGGGATTACTCCTGCTATCTGGTCAGCGATATATATTTACTACTAGCGGGGCCACAGTCGATATTCAGTATGATACCACGGACAACTTGGGGATAGTCTCTGCCTTTCAGTAAACTCATGGCCTCAAATGATGCATTGTGGGTAGTTATTTCACGAGAAATAATAACGAGCGCGGCTTCCATATGGGTGTTGAATCAGTATATCGGTGGTTACTGTTTACAATAGCCATGGTTTTCGACCAGATATCGACAGGTATCGACGCTAAGATTAGATCCCCACAGGATGGATAAGCTATCGAGTTTTTATTTTGATGCCATGGTTATGTCAATGTTGTCTTAGCGTTGTCGCGATATATGAGGAACGAAGTATCCTTAAGAAATGTTCCTGTTCGGAAGTAACTACGATTGGCGTAAATGGTGCCTTGAAATTTAAAAGGCACTGCCCAGATATGCTTATTCACAGAGTATTGAACATGTCAGAAATCACTTGATCACAGCTTTCAGCGAAGAAGATAGAATAGATTCGCTATATAACACTATATTAAATGAATAAGAACTCAAATTCGACAGCGGAACTCAAAATATCCGACTAAGCATCTTTTCAAGCAGCATCCAGCGGACTCATCCGTACTGCCTTAGTTGGAAGTGTAAGAGCAAACGTTGGGGTTCTTGCTGTACTCAACGCGGGCAGCAATACCCTCACAGCCCTCGTTCCAGCCGGGCTTCTCGACACCAGCATCGGCCCAGATGCTCCAGGCGCCCTGGATGCTGTTGGGGCAGGCAATCAGGTCCTTTCCACCGAACTGCAGGTGGTTGTTCTGGTCGATGGACCAGCCCTGGCGTTCACCGTTCTTGGGGGCGGGCTGAGCGCCGGTGATGTATCCGATCTTGCCTTGGCCTGTGACAAATACATATTAGCTATAAAGTACTTTTGATTACACGATAGGAAAGAGGATAAACGTACCCATGCCGGAGCGGTCAACGTAGAGCTCCTGGGGAGTCGCAGACTGGTCGTACAGGTAGAGAGCACCGTTGTCGAGGACGAAGGTAGCAGTCTGGTCCTGGGGGTTGGAGCAGCTGGCGTTCTGGCTCTTGAGGCCGGCGAAGATGCTGCCGAGGGCGGCGTTGAAGGGAGCATACTGGACGCCGCTGCCGGAGTGGATGGAGATGACGCCGAAGGGCTGGTTGGTGGCAGCGTCGGTGGCCGGAAGAGCGGCAGCCGTAGCGGCGGCGAAGATCAGGTTCTTGAGCTGCATCTTGAAGGATGGTGTGGTATAGATTTGAGAAGAGTTGATTGGTTGATTGGTTGATTGGTTGGATGTGAGAGATGTGAGAGACTTCTTGTGATGATGAAGGTATGATTATCGAGGACATCAAGCTACCTTTTATACCTTTCATCTCGCTCGGCCAGCACCATAATTAGTAACGGCCGTTTTACAGCTGCCAATATACAGTGTCTCAACCCACAAACAATCCCTACTTACCCAGCACAGCAGGTATGCTGTCATCGCCCCCAGAAAGGGCGATTGGTCCGATGGAAGCTTCTTCTGGGATATGATTGCTTTAGACTCAAATTCAGGGTCCCCCCTCGATGGCAATAAAGTGACCTAAATTTAACACGGCGGGGTTTTAAAGGGCTGGTTATTGGCTGTGGCTGGAGGCCATGTGGGTGCCCCTGGCGAGACATCGGAGAAATGGCAACGGTGATTGCAGGAATTCCAGTTAGTGGATTCACTTCTTATGGGTGAGGGAAATCGATCGGCGCATATGAGACCCACATTAGTACAGACATGTCTCATTCTGGGGGAGGCGGACGGGCCGAAGTGACACCATGAGTTTGTCATTGATTGAGTGAGAGAAGTGTCTTACGGGGATGTGGGATGACTGTATGAGGGGTTGATAGTGAGACATACATATATGTTGCAGCCGTGATGGGCGATATAGATAGTCCATTGCGTGGGAGATTATGGGACTGGTAAGAGGGGACGAGGGGTCCGATAGGATAGATCCTTGCGGATTGGTGCGGTGCGATTCCCACAAAGCCTCATCTTGGAATTGGCAAGCCTCGGCAACAACGACAAGCGAAACCGTTGTCTTAGTTGGCTATTTACCCGTTAATTCAGCCGGCGAGGCTGTGATTGAGGTTGTGATGAGTGGCTCTCCCCCTTTCCGATGGCCTTACCGCCGTTGAAGAAATTGTGGGACAATTCTCCACTGATGAGATGGGATCGACAAAGACATAGTTCGATAGACTCGTTCCTTGTTTTGAGCGAATAAGATCTACTAGCAATGGGAGGTACCTTGTTGATACTACCATTCAAACCTTCAAGTGATTGAGGGAGGCCACTGATGACACTGACTGTGGTTGTCCTTGTTTCTCTGCCCTCAGCTACCCGAGAAGGTTTGGAGTCGCATATCGCGGGTGAAATGTCTGTAACCATGAAGAGTCGTTGCATTCGGATTGATCGAGTTCTCAATTGGTAGATCACGCAGTTTACATCATAGTCACTACCGGTTCGAGCGTGCAGATGTGGCATGCGTCGTGACTCCAATAGCTGCTTTTAGTTCGAAGAAGTCTCTTGGCATGAAAAGGGATGTCTAATATTGTGCAGTGACCGAATGTTGCTCTAAGGAGCTTTCGCTCAGTCAGTAAAAATCTACCTGAGACATTGAGGAACTATTCCTACTATTGCCTTGGTGTCTTTGAGCAAGAAACATCAGACTGGTGACCACGGCCGGAATACATTTGTTCCCCAGAAGCCTGGGCTGATGGTTGACTGAGACAGAGATAGTTCCAGACCTCTTGAATTGTTCAAACTGAAAGATACCGGCAGGTCACGCAACGAGAGCCTCCCTTCTGTATGGTAGTCTAACATTTAGTGCTGCCATGGTATAGTAACAGCTTGCATGATTCATTACGTTACGTTATGAAGAAAGTATCTCCCTTCCCATAGCGGTTTGGTGCTGATTATGTCTATGCAATCGTCAACTCAGTTTTTTCTGTAACAGCAAATACCCTCAGTTCAGAACCCGATTCCTCCGCCTCTGCAAAGCACTCTTCGGTATATGCTCGATAAGCTCATCATACGAAACTTTGTTGTGTTCCGCGATCATAGGCAGTTGTGACCAATGTGGGAGAAGACCGGCCAGAGGATTGATCTGAACCATTGTGAGCCAAGGCCAAGTATGTTTGCCAGTTGATCTACCTACCTCCATGACATGGGCGACTGGCGACCCAGAGGAGCTATCCATCCGTATATCAACTCTTCCTCCATCGCGACAGCGCAGAACAGTCCATGCTCGAAGAGCTGTCTGACAAGCAAGGTCAGCTTCTTGGTCATCCCGACTGACCTTGATCTCGTCAGCCTCTCCTGCCCAATCATCGGCTGACTTTGACTTTTCAGTGGTGTACTCTACTGCTTCAGGGTTGGACTTGGTTGATTCCTTGCTACACCATACTATCTCGTCGACACCGACCACCCATGCATCCTCGCCCGTTCCAAGAATGCCCACAGTGAACTCTCGGCCCGGAAGATACTTCTCGATGATAACCCCAAGCGAAGAGGGGCTAGAATCTCGAAGAGAGTTGATCACCTCACATAGGGATTCGATGCTCTTTATTTTGTTGCTGGCTCCAATTCCTTTGGAAGAGCCTTCAGCAAGAGGCTTTGCGAACAACGGATATTGACTCAGCAGCGTTTCGGAATGGCGAGACATGTGAATCATAGACAGAATCTCATATAGTGAAATTTGCGCCTTTCCATAGGTATGATTGAAGTGTATCACTGCGAAGGGCGCAGTCGGGACATTGAAATGCTCAAGGACCATCTATCAAGCGTCCGTTAGCTGCAATAGTCTGAAATAGTTCCCATGCCCACCCACCTTTGTTCTGCCCTTGTCCAAACACAATGCCATCGTGGCCGCATCCGAAAACGTGAACGGGACCTGGTATGCCTCCAACAATGCAGGAACCTGACCTTCTCGAGCTAATCCATGTAGTCCCTCTGTGGTGTTGAATGCCAAGTCCCACGTACTACCCTCGCCATTTGCGAGCCTTGTAACCAGAGAATGGATATCTGGGATAAGAACGACCTCATGTCCCAGCTTTTTGAGAACCGCAGCTATGTGATCGGCGGCTTCTCCGACCTCGAACCTGTTGCAGTCCACATCTGAGTAACCGAGGGCTTTGTAGGCCTCGCGAAGCTCAAATATGAGAGCGATCTTGAGGGATCCGTAAGTCATAACGGCGTGTATCTGGATCCACTGTAGTGTAAGGATCTATCATCATTTTATATCCTGCTTGAGCAATTCTGACAAGTCAAGCCTAAACTTCAGCCACACTGTATGACACATAAAAAGGGTGGAATACAATGCTCGTAGATGAAGTTGCGGTGTGACTTTCAATCGTGCGTCTGCATTCATGCGTGGAGCTATGCAATCACAAAGCTGATGCAGTTCTGCTCCCAAATGCAAATAAGTGTAGGTTTCCGAAGAATAATTGATTGACCTGCAGAGATTGCTTTCTGTTCGACTGAGGTGCCGTGTCATACGGCCACTTAGTGAGATGGCCAAACTACGGTCGAATGGCGTTCGGAGTAGCGAAACCTCCTTTTTGATAGCCCTTCACGGTTCAATGTCTAGTGTATCAGCTGTACAAATGGTAAATAAAAGTCCAAACATTTGATATTATTTACATCAGTTCATGAAACTAACACGACTTGTGTTCAACTACACTAGGGGTCGGTCCTCGTAGTTGTTCGCTAATTCTTACCTCTCGACAAAAAGTGACATTGTAATGAATGTAAGTTGGAAGATTGAGCTATATTGACACTGATTCTTGACTAGAGATTTTTTCGTTATTCTCGCTCAGACTCAATGGAGAATTGCGTCTCGCTACCATCAATTCAATGATGACACATCCCACAGCGCTCTCAGTTACAACATCAAAGGTTTCATCTACTGCCACCCAGTTTGTCCCCACCCGAACAGCTAAAGCCATCCAGACAACTCTCATTGTCGGAGGTATAGCTTGGCTCATATAGCCTATTCTCGCCACGCCGTGGCTGAATGAAACCATATTTGTCGCCAAATACGTGAGTCTCCAAGCAAATGAAGGTTTGGCGATAGTCAGAATCGCGCATGATTGTTCGAAGCTGTGAGCTGATGTTGCAAATCTGTGTTCCCGGTTAATTAAATAGAGATGCATTATGTCCGAGTCTTCAGGCCGAGAGCATCGGTTAAATGCATGAATACAAATAGTCTGCAGACGCACCCCGCACTTGACGCAACTCATGGTTCAGCGCTTTTAGTAATCATAGCCGGAGCTGAAAATCATGATGTTGCTTCACCTCATGGCATACGCTGCACTCAGCAGTGTAGTAACCGCTGCATCCCTACAGCCACGGCTGCAAGATGGCTTAGCATTAACACCACAAATGGGGTAGGCCGAGCACGCCTTGTCCATGTACAGGACTAATACCATTGGCCAGATGGAACACATACAATCACTACTCGTGCTCCCCAAACGAGGCCATCGTTCGGTCCAATGCACAAGCATTGGTTGACCTAGGCTTATCATCACTTGGATATCGGTATGTCACGACAGACTGCGGTTGGACGGTCGCAGACCGACTGCCTGACGGATCCTTGACATGGAATGAAACCCTGTTCCCTCAAGGATTTCCTGCTATGGGTGACTTCCTCCATGACTTGGGCCTCTTATTCGGAGTGTACCAAGATTCTGGAATTCTATTATGTGGAAGTCCGCCGAACGAGACAGGAAGCCTGTGTATGCCAACCAGCATGGCCAACTTCGAGAGCGAATTGCTAATCGAGCACCGTAGATCACGAAGCTCAAGATGCCAGGACATTTGCCTCGTGGAATGTTGACTCTCTCAAATGTATGTCTATAGTATTCTGTTTGAGTCCACTTTCTGACCGGGTTATCTAGACGACAACTGCTACTCTGACGCCGCAACTAACTACCCCAACGTTAATTACGCCCCCAGCACCTCTCCGGAACCCAGATTTGCCAACATGTCTCATGCATTATCGCAGCAAAATCGAACCATTCTATTCCAGATCTGCGAATGGGGGATTAGCTTCCCCGCAGGTTGGGCCCCTGCTCTCGGCCATTCTTGGCGGATTGGCAACGACATCATCCCTGCCTGGCGGACCATTTACCGCATAATAAACCAGGCAGCTCCACAAACGGATTTTGCTGGTCCAGGGCAATGGCCCGACCTCGACATGCTCG